ACAATTTCCACCAAATGTAAACGTAAGCAGACACATGAGTGCACATTTACATGTAAGTTTATAAAAAACAAAATTAAAAAATAGCGTTGTTCATAAAGTAATTTTTTTCTTCAATAATTACTCCATTAAAAACTTAAACATTTTGAGCTACGAGTAGATAGAATTTGATACATAAATCGAAAAATTTTCTATGGTGAGAAATACATACACTGTGTCAATTTTAAAACTTGCAATCGTCAATTTCTCTCAACTGAAAAAGTTATTAATAATCACTCAAAACCGTTTTGATGGTTCCTAGGGAGAATTAAAATGACATGATAAGTGACACACCTCCACCCACCCTTGAATTTAGTAAAAAAATGAAAATTTAACGTCTTCGTTTTTGAATAATTGGAAAAATAACTTTACCAAATAGGCTGTTGTATGACATTTTTGAAAAGCGCTTGTTATGGGCTTTCCAACGATATATCGCAAGTAGGGTCGTGCCATTTAAAATTTTCAACTTAAGGTGGCTGTGGCTTGAAGGGTGGGTGGAGGAGCGTTACTTACCATGCCATTTTGATTCCCCCTAAAAACCACCGAAACGGTTTTGAGTGATTCTCACTAACTTTTTTAGTTCTAGAGATATTGGCAATTGCAAGTTTTAAAATTGACACCCTGTATATTTATAAACACAAGTTTTTCCTGAATTTGGCTCAGTTGCTAAATCAAGTTACATTGAGATTCATTCTGAAAAATAATGAGATTAAACCGATGTTATCCAATTATAACCAATATACAGGGTACGCCAGAACTCGCGCTCCAGAGAAAAATGCCATATAAGGTAGGATACCAAGAACATGGAAAAAATGCTAAAAACATTGTATCTATAAAAATTTCGAAGTTATGAGGGTTTAAAGTTTGCACTTTGACTCTATTTATTTCTGTTGGAAAAATAATTTTCCAAGTTTTTTTGCTACAGGCTATTAAAAGAGGAAACAAGAAAGCTGTATGCTAAATTGTAACTCTGTTCAGTGTTATTTGTGGCTTTTATTGGCAAAATTTTTGTACCTTTACTAAATAATTGTAAAAAAACATATACAAGATCATCAGTATCATTAAATAGGCATAAAAAAATGTTAAATGTCAAAAAATAAATGTCAAAATTTTTTGACAGATAGAATTTTTTAAACATTTTTTTCATATTCCTGGTATCTTACCTTATTTGAAAATTTTCTCTGGGGCGCGAGTTCTGGCGCACCCTGTACATACTACCAAGTTATTAGCAACAATGCATTTTGTGGTTTCTAATTCAAAGTGAAATAGAAAACATTCCAAAATGAATCTTAATCTTAAGATTCAATTTTTTGCGGGCTATAATAACAATTATTGTTTTATTATTCACATCCAATTGACAATAACCAATACATAACATTATATTTATATTCATTATTATCATTTATCGAATGATTTTGCAAAAACTAAATAAAAAGAATTGTTAGATAAATTTACCTACCGATTTTTAGACGTGTTATTATTTCCAATAAAATATAAAGCTCTGTAGGATCCCAACGCTTCTTTCACTGAATCCGCACTGGAATTACTAAACGAACCTTCGTAGATAGAAAAACAAAAAACAAATATAAAATTTTATGGCTGGTAATAAAGTATCTTGTGAAGCTGTTACCCTAGTTCTTCCATCAATTTAGTCTAAAAACTTTTGTCAGTTTTGCAAAATGCCAACTAAGTGTCTCTTTTAACAATGTTTACAAACGAAATTATTTGCTTATTCTTGAAAATAGTCCAATTAGAATTGATAACGGTCCATTACTTAATTAGCAAACCCGATTTCAATTCTAATACATGAAACATAAGTAATTTCACAAGTTTGTTGGTTCTAAATTGTGGTTACGCCCAAATCTCTATGATCCGCTCAACTTACATTGAAATTAATTCGCCTAGTTTTAATGAAGCTTCACATTTAGTGGCGCAAACCCTCTCAGTATTCCATTCGTTCTTGGCTTTAATTCTGAAGCTTTATCTGAGGAGTTTTCCCACTTTTATGAAGGATTTGTCTTAAAATAGTTACGTGACGAAAATTTCAATTTGACACTAATCGCTACAAAATCACCAGAAAAATACCGTAATTTCATTACGATCACGAATGATTGATTTATTGTCGGCGTCTATTCAAGACGACATAATTTGCAAATGTTACGAGTCTAACATACTCATCATTCATCGTACTCTAATTAAATTGCCAACTTGTGATGCCGTAGTCAAATTTTCTAATTTACCATCTCATATCAATCAATTCCCTACTGTTCTGCATTAATTTTAATCGCCGAAAATTCCGAATTCACGGCTACGATACGTAAATAAGCAAAGTTAGGCACATACGACCGTAACAAGAGATGTTTCAAAACTTCATTACGCCATTAGAAGACTTTGCTAACGAACACAAGCCTAATTTTTGACTCATAATTCAATAAAAATTTGCAACACCAAAGCGGAGATTTTGTCAAAGTAAAATGACCGCTAGACACAAAAAATACAAAATTCTTGTTGTGTTACAGCAGATTTTAGTGTTTTGAAATGATAAACTAAAATATGCAGAATTAATATTTATAGATTATGCAGTCAGTGCCACCGTATTTCAAGATAACTTGAAATTATTCCGACTGCATTTATTGATTTAATTCAATGAGATAATTTGAATAAAAGTTGAGTTTTAAAATGTATTGGTGCTAATTTATAGGGGAATATTTTTTGAGATAAAAGAGACAATCGGTACAGCGGCCCTTCAGCAATTAATCTTTCCTTAATGAGAATCAAAAAAAATATTCATAAATTATTTAGCTTAAGTAAATAAGCCATCCGAAGCAAAAAACATTATCTGTGCGTACAAAAGATTAGCAGAATATTTCATTGGGTATTGTCCAATAAAAGCGCTGTTGGCTGAAAGGGCTGTGGCTGTCCCGAGAGGATATAAAATATATTACGGCAACAAAATGTATAAATTTTGTTACGTTTTATTATCCTTCACTAAGTTAAACTTTCGGCTTCATCCTGACTCATAACAGAAAATTATATTCGTTTAGAGTAAAGAGATTGCTTTCGATCGTAATAAATCGACCAAATTAGCCAAGAAACGAAGTCTTTTTCCTCAATTTAAAAACGAGAGCGGAATTCGACTTGGCTTTGTTTTAGCCCATTCACAGAAATTTTTAATTAAAATTTAAATTAAAGCTTACACTCAGAGTAATATATGCATATCACAATTTTCCGCAAAATCGAGGTGAATTAGCATCGTAATTACTCGGGAATGTGTTCGGTATTGAAGCGAGTGAAGCACAAAAAAGCCAGAGATGAAGCACAAGATCAGTTGACACCTATTTATGTTTATAATCCGATTACTGGAACTCATAGAAAAGCACCCTTGACGACAACTGCAGGAAAAAAGTAACAACCCTGTGTTTAGATGAGTGTTAATAAATGGATTATGATCCAACTTTGTGGATTTTTTCCGTAATTTGAAGCCAGTTTTCTGTCTGAAAAACTCGGATTTAATCGCCGAATGAGTTTATTTACGTGATACACAAAGTTCAAAAATTAGGTTTGCGGGTTAATGAAAATGTTAAAGCAAATTTCCTTCTAAATTGCACCCCTAATGAAATTATAGGGGAGGTAAATTAGAATACACTGCGTTGATTTCAAAACGATCCACGCTAACATTTTCCGAATTAAGCCAAATATCAAAGTTCGATGAAAACTAATCAATAAACCTGTTATTTTTTCATAAGTAAATGCATTTATTAACAAAATGTTATTCAATCTTTCAAAGCAAAAATATTAGTGTAAAAACACCGATATTAATTAGTACAATATTTCTTGCGGCCACCTTATTAAGGAAAATTATGATTGTTGGTTTTATGTACATACATATTTTCATTTGGGTTCTTCTAAAAGACCTGATTACAAAAATCGTCTGTAAACTATACAATTTTTTTAAATTCTGATTATTACGCCAGAAGACCTCATACATTTTCTTTTTGAAGAAATTATTTTTAGACAAAAGTCTCAATTTGGTGAATATTACGTTAATTGATTAAGTAGTTAGAAAGAAAAATTAAGGAGAAACGTCGAGGAAAATTAACACCCAACTCTAGAAGCGTCTAAAAACTCCTCTTTCACACAAGTTCAAAGTTTTATCTGCCTTTCTGTTCGTAAAATAATAAAAGTTTGAACTTTACACTAACATCAATTTATTCTTCTTAAAAACCTATTTAATAAACTTTGCAAGAAGTATGCACAGGTTAGAATAATATAGTCCAGGAGGTTTTTTTGGTACCTACCTATTTTTCCAGTCATCGAATAAAAATAAAAATGTTCAGTTAGTGAATCCTAAGTCTAGCAAAAATCTTTCGGTAAATTAACAAAGAACAAATTGAGTTGAACATATTTTTCCGCTAGGGGTTATTTTGATTTACTAAAGTAAATGCATTTTTTTAAGATTACCAAAAATAAAACAATTATGTATTTTTTTTGTTCCAGACGTATTTGCCATGTCTACAGACATTTTCACTACATTAAAAAAACACAATTGCAATATCAAGGCATATTTTACGTCAACCAACTGAACAATCCTATCGACGTTTACTGATTGGGCAAAACATTACTAAAAAACTAACTCTTAGACTAATATAGTAGATAGTTTCATTTATTTTTAAAATGTTTCCTTTTGTATTTGCACTCGACTTTTATATTGTATTGTTTGCTGTAATGTGTAAAAGTAAAGGAAATATCACAGGTGCCTTGAAAAATGATTTACCACCGAAATTATCCCTGAGATTAAGTCCAAATATTGAATTTGTAAATGTTTAAAGAGAATTTAGATTAGTTTATCCCATGCAATACTTTACGGTAGGTAATTCTGTTTTAAGCCCTAAAAACGAATAATTATAATCAATTTAAAAAGGCTTAATTTAGAAATGTTGAATTTTAAAAGTTAATTTTTTTAGACTTGTGGAACCAAGATGTGATCATGGGTTCCTCCAAGTCAAAGCAATGCAGTTGCGTGAGACGTCGCCGCAGAAGCACAGCCTACGAAGAAGAAACCTCAAGCTCAAGATCCATAGAAATAGACCTCCAACAACAACAAACTGAGCGCCCTTTAAGAACAAGTGCCCGCAAAACGAAAACAAAATGCTTCAGTCATATGATTCCAAAAAAAATTTTGTGTTGTCTCCAAAAAGACGACATGAGTATGACCAAAATCGAGCGAAGTAAGTAGATGAATATTGGAGGAGATAAATTGGGTACGCCTTTTCCTATTAATCACTTTTATGAGTAGCGAAGAGAAAAATATTAAAGGGCAAGGCAAGTAAATGTCCCGTGGCGGTAAGTTATCATGAGGAAGTAATAAATTTCTTAGTTTGCAACTTGCTCGCGCTTGTCGGCCAATAAAAATATTGTTTAACGTAAAATTATTAAACTAAGTAGGAAAATTTGTCAAAAGTGGCACCACATTTGCTTTTTTGATTTTCAAAGCTGTTTGAAAACACTTCTCGTGCTCATCCAGGAATAAATAATTCAAATGAATTACAAAAAAGTGGAAAATCTATAAAACAAAAATAGCTAAAAATTATGAAATAAGAACGCATGACTTAAGAACGTCCAATTAGTTTGCTAGTGGTGTTATCAATAAAATTAAGCTTTCCCTAACTCAAGTAAAAATAATAATTTAAGTCGCTGCGTAAAACTGTGATGGCTTCTAAATATTTTGCTGAAACTCAGCGTGCAATTTCCATATCAATTTATCTCACCAGGAATTACAATTAAAACTTTTTTAATTAAATCTGTTTTGTCATTTCAACTACAAATCGGCCCTTTATCTAACCGTGTCACACTTTAAACATTTCCTCCCTGTTCGATACACGAACAAATCATACAAGAAATAAACACGAACGCTCGATTACTAATATTTTCGTTGAAAAGGATAAATTTTAGTTCATTTACTTGAAACGTATAAGGCGATCAACGAATCTTCCAGGGATTTATATATAAATTTAGATATACGACATGTCCTTGCTTCTTTTAAGCCGAAATTATTACTGTTATAAGTTTTCTCGAAGACGAAATCGAATTATAACTCCTAATTGGATCGTCTCAAGGAGCCAGCGCAGCGAGATTCCAAATATTTTTTAACAGAGCTGCAGTATTATCGATAAACGCTCTTCAGCAACACTTGACCAAACAAATATAATCATTCTTTGATAAACTACTCTTTAAACATAATTCACAACAGCAATCTACCGAATTGTCGTTAATTTTTCAGTTTGCAATTGATATTTACATTTTCACTTCCTTGAAAAAAGTATAAATCCTTTGAGAATAAAAAAAATCTCAAAATTCTAACGATAATATAATCACAGCAACGATAATCAATATACCGCCTAGTTACATTCCAATTAATTTATTTTCTCCAGATGTTACTTAATTGACGTTGTGGCTGCTGGAAGAATATTACGAGACAATCATACAAAATTAAATAATGTTTTGTTATTACAAATATAATCCACTTCAAAAGTTTTGCTTATATAAGATATTTCCTTTATTATTTAAATAAATTGAATCGTTTAAGTGCTTTATGACAATTATACAGAATGCGCCAGAACTCGCGCCCCAGAGAAAAATGCCATATAAAGTAAGATACCAGGAACATGGAAAAAATGTTAAAAAAATTTTATCTATAAAAATTTCAAAGTTATGGGGGTTTAAAGTTTGCACTTTGACTCTATTTATCTCTGTTGGAAAAATAATTTTCCTGTTTTTTTTTTGCTATAGGCTATTAAAAGAGGAAACAAGGAAGCTGCATCCTAAATTGTAACTCTATTCAATGTTATTTGTGACTTTTATTGGCAAAATTTTTGTCCCTTTACTAAATAATTGTAAAAAAACATATACAAGATCATCAGTATCATTAAATAGATATAAAAAAATGTCAAATGTGAAAAATAAATGTCAAAATTTTTTTGATAGATAGAATTTTTTAAACATTTTTTTCATGTTCCTGGTACATACCTTACCTTACTTGAAAATTTTCTCTGGGGCGCGAGTTCTGGCACATCCCTATATAAATGACAAATTATCAATTTCTATAATGTTACTATTAATTTAAATAATTTAATCTATTGGGAAAAAAGTTTTGGCTGCATCTCTAGAATAAACATCGTTAATCCCTCGAATGAAAATGCCCTCGGCTACCTTTTGGTCGCCTCTGCCATTACACCTACATTTTCGAGATTAAAATAGTTATTTATTCCCTTAAACATAAAAAAATATTTGTAGTTAAATTGTTTAATAACAACTTCACACCTAACCTTCACCATTATTGGTTGGTCCTTTATTTCGGAGATTAATGATGTCTTTGTAACCCAATGTAAGAGATTCACTAGATTACATTTCACTTAGGAGTTACTAATCTTATATTTTATTGTAACAGCATATTTCTACGCTCGACTTTTGAACTAAATGGCCTTCAATTTTTATTTTCAACAATATGGAACAATCTGTGCCCTATATATATTTGGTATCATTTTCTCTCTATTTTATCTTTACTCGTGGAAATTCCCATGCTAGCAATCTTCCCTTTGTCTGGAAAATGTACGAAGTGTACAATCTCATTCCCCATCATAACTCCGCGAAAGTATTAGGTCACGCCTCAAGTCTTCACTTCAAATGTTTTAGTTTAAAATTGATCCCGAGCCCGATCTAAACCAATGTTTCAACTATTCATTACACTTTGCCACAAAGCGGCTCTTATTCAAATCTTAGCTCATTACAGTCTGGGAAGAGTTAATATTTACTCGAATTTTTCTCGCGTCTCTCCAGCACTTATAAATTAGTTCATTTGCAATTACCTTTGTGCATCTAAAATAACTTCCTGACGAATAAACACAGCTATTTAATGTTAACAGAATTTTATCTGTCCTGACATGAAATTCCTCAGCTTGTGAGCGGCAATCAAGAAATACGAAGACGTGAAATAAAAATGAAGAGCTCTGTAAAGAAACCGAAGTTGTGCTTCCGGAGCCGTGCTATTTATATAAATTAAGGAAAACAGAGGGAAGTCAGACCATATTTCCGCCAATGCGATATCTTATCTGGAGTTTCGTCAGTTTTGGCTTTTAGCTTTGAAACTTGGCCTCATACACGCGATTTTTACATAATCATCTTGCCATAGACTAACTAACGTGATTTTAATAATAAGTAGCCACATTCGAAGAAAAGCAAAGACCAAATACCTACGCCTGAGTAAAACAAAATTCGTAGAAAAAAGAAAACTAAAATCGAGCTCAAATAATTATAATATTTAACTTCTTTTGACAAAGTTTTATCGAATCAAAACTATAACTGTCGACGGTAATTTCAGACAGTCAGAGTTGTTTACTCTCCAAGCTTTTATGATTCGCTGCCATGCCTGAAACTAAAGTTTTCGTAATATCTGCAGACATTTTAATGAGAAGTTCTAAAATGCTTCCAGTTATCTTATTAGACAATTTATCTTAGCCTTAAAACAAATTAATACATTCCTGATTTTCCTTCGAGTTAAAAGTAGCTTATCTTGATGAAATATTGAAGCTTTCCTGATAAAATTCCATTGTTTTATTGTGTAAAATGTAGGATTATTGCTGACGTTAAATTGGATGTTGCGGTTGACACGTCGTTTTTGCCGTGCATAACCGCCAATTTTCCACACGGAAAGCTCCACTAAACTTTACAGTTTCAACAATTCCAAAAACACAAATCGATGGAAAATTATATCAATTTCGGCTTTTATCTTAGCAGATGTTTCTGAAGGTCCGCAAAATTTATCCATTGAGTTTTATTAAAATTCCATGTGAATATTTCTTTTTTTCAGCTCATTTGACATTAGTATCCTAAGTTTTATCTGATCAATGTTTAGATCATAAAACTTTTTTGCAGCTATAAAGGCGACACTGTTAATACAGAAATGGTATAGAAGATATATGGCAAGATTAGAAGTTCGGCGCAGATACACTTGGACGATATTTCAAAGCATAGAATATGCAGGAGAGCAGGACCAAGTCAAAGTAAGTATAAAAGAAATTTTATTGCCTTGTTTTGTAGGTACGGTCGTAACACTTTACAGTTACCCTAAGAAAATCTCATTAAAAGCTTTCCTTAAATTAATAAGATAAAACGAAATTGCGCTAAGTCACTATAGTAAACAATTGGTACGTTTTTCCGCTTTAAAAATGTTTTCTATTTTGCGTTTAGAATAAGTCTATTCCACGTCATTTGAGTGCTTTAATAGTCGTTGGCGTTCATTTAATTTGTGACGGTCTTTCTTCACAATTAATTTTCAAATATGGAAATAAGAATTATTTTTATTTTTCATAGCCGCCTAAAATTATTCTTCATGAATGTCGCCAACCGTCGCAAATTTCTCGCTCGTTTCGGAATTTCAAATTTGTTTTTGAATAAATACTTTCTGCAACTTGTACTTTGATATACTATTCAAAATGTAAAAAATATTTTGCATTTGCCTTTAAAAACTTAATAAAAAAAAGCTTTGGAGAAATAGGTGGCCATTCTGTCAATTCAGTAAATGGACAACTTTCTATCAAGATACCTACTCTTTTATGGATTACAACCCTTTGCTATTTCAAGTAGAACAAATATGAGAAAAATCCCAACTTTGCGGTAAAATATCTCTTTTCCTGCAAATGAGATTTCAGACGATATTGAATTACATTTCTCAAAAAACAATGCGCAATACATTTTAATATCTGAAAAATTAGCTATTTTTTACTTCAATGTAGAAAGTTTTTAGTTGTCAATTGCAACTTAATTGAACTTAAGTTAACGAAAATTTTATTCAAGAGACCTCGCTGCAAGACCCAACTTGCCAGTTTGTGGTTTATCTGAAAGCACAACAATTGGGCCTTGAGATATAACCCAACACTTGATGCTAAAACCAGATTGTATCAACGTTAGTTTGATAAACATATGGCACCATACACGCTCACGAATAAACTCGCCAGAAAAATATCAGCGAATAAAAACCCTTGTTGTATTTCATATTAAAGTCGTAAATTTGAAAAACTGACCCATTTTTTACCCCTCATCACATTTCTAACATAAATCAAACACATTTTGCGTTCGCTCTGTTCGGGTAATAAAGATAATTTTGTTGCATTGTTGCGAACTCAGTGCACATCCGTCCCTGACTATTGAACACGTATTTGGCACCACCTAGATTGTCAGCATAGCTGAATAATACCCATTCAACTACGAACTGCCAGTTATAATAACGATAGATTCCCAATGAGTTTAAACCTTCATCGCTGCAGAATGATATGAATGAACGACCCAAAAATGTGTGACACGCAGGATTTTATGTGAACGAATCCTATGAAAAAGAAATCAAATCAATGAGAGCTTTATCTCTGCTTTTCGCTTTGTTGGCATTGCAGCGTATCTTTTTATACAGTTCTTATATTTTTTAATCCTTAGTGGTTAAAAATGATAATAACTAGACTAAAACAAAAATAATGAATCTAAACACAACATCCCTATTTTGCCATTAGTGTGAGTAAATTACAGTTGCAGTTATTTTTATTTTAAATATAATCCACTTTCATTTTAGATTTCTCAACTCCACCACATTCGACTAAAGTAAATTTTACACCAGCACCAATTTTCAAAACTGTTTATTTAATTACCAGCTTCGCTGCTTGAACAATGATGAATACTTTATTAAAATTAAAATTGGCGGTCGTTTCGAGACATCCGTATTGTCTCAATCCACCTCTTTTATTAATCATTTGAGAGTGAAATAAAGTCATGGATTACAAAAGCATAATTGTTCGAAATTCCGAAGATGCATCAATACCAATAATAATTCTCGCGCGAGTCTGGGGTGTTTGTGGTATCGATCGTCTGTTCAAATAAACCTACCCCTTTACTAATTATTTCTCGCCCCTTGATTACCCTTACGAAGGTTGGGAAAAATCGAACTGCGACAAAACCGAATGCTCTTTTGACCTAATCAACAAAGTTTGCCTTTCCTGTAGGATAGACCTATTGTTGTGCTGTCGAAAAGATAAGAGAATCAAAACAAGCTGTTAAGTACAGTATTCGAGCAATCTTCGTGAATTATTTAAGAGTTAGTTGTCACAGCAGACAGTGGTTTTAACTTGTCACGTTCAGTTTTTGTTTGTGATTCCTTCAGGCAGAAATTTCACAATTTGCAAATTAAATTTCAGTTACGAACGCTACCACTGTTATTATAACTGATCAAACTTAAATTACCTAGTGTTATATTACATATCTAGAACTAAGAGGCTTGAGATAATCTGTTTACAGCTAAGAGATAATTTTTACAAGCAAACCTGACACTGTATATTTTGCAACAAAATTATCGAAATTGAATTAGCTCTCCTTGCCCTTATTCAAAATAATCGCTTCAGAAATTGTTGTTTTCACCATTGTTCCGATTATGTAAACTGGTGAGAATCCGAGTGAAGCTTGTGACGTTGATAAATGTTTTACTTTTGTTGCATGAAATTACGATAAGTTAAAAGAATAGTTCAGACACAAAAACTTTTGTAAAATAGAACTTTTTAAGCCAACGCAATTTTCACTACCATTATCGCAAAGTTAATGTTTTCAAAGCTTTCAGTGTCACTCCACAATTTACACAATTTCGATTTTTCAAAGGATTGGTGATGAACACATCCAGTATGGATGGAAAAGAGATAACACCTACATTATTTTTAAAAGCAGGGATTATATTATGTGAATGAAACTCAAATGCAATTTTCGCAATTTTAGTATTTTCTTTGTTCTGGAAAATTGAAGTTCTTTGTAAAAAATTAAATTATTCTCATGTTGAGCTTAAAGAACCATTCCTAGTCCAGTTCTATTAAATAAACTGCATTGAAAATAAGGAGGGTAGAACTAAGTTTTTAATAAGGGAGACTTAAGAAAAATAGTAGTAGCACAACAAAAAATAATACATTTCCAAATATAATTAGATGTAAATACAAACAACTTTTATACGAGTATTTACAAGTAAGCGAAACCAAACACTAAATACTCATATAGAGTTATTACAATACAAATGCGTAGGCTTTAACCTACACGAAGTTTTGAAAGTGCCGTTTATTATTTTCTGTGATACCAAACAAAATTCAAACTTTTTGTAATTATATGCTATGCCTCCCCACTAAAGTGACATTTACTACTTGATGTTCAACAAAGTTTGATTACTGTAAGTTTGTTTAAGAGTTGACTACATCAAATGCAGGAACAAATACAAGTTATAATAATAATGAGATATATCTTTAGATAGGTACAACAAATTAATTATAAATCTCTGTTTAATTCATAACAAAATTTGGTTTGATGAGTCATGTTTTGCAATAATTAAAATAAAAATGTTATAAAAAATTTGAATGTTATTAAATTATTGATTTATATAGTTATTCCTGTTTTGCACAAATAGAAAATTTAATTTGCGTGACGTGACACAACAGAAGAATACAGTTTATAACTATCTATATATTACCATTATTAGCTTTTGTGGCAAACAAATTTTCTAAAACAAAATTTATTAATAATTTTACAAATGAAAGAAATATTTAAACATCATTTTAACGAAGGAAATGGTGTTCACTTTTGTAAATAGAACTTAAAAGAAACAATAATAGCAATTTAGGTCAATTTCGTCCAAGCTGTAACATTAAATCATCCTCATTTACTTCATACAGTTTTGACCTTAAGGCAAAATCAGAATTTAATGAGTTTTTTTTTCACAAAAGTTCAAACAAGATTATTACAATATTCATGGTGCATACAAATCGATTTTGTGTACATTATTATTTGTTTTTGAAATTTGTCCACTCGCATCTTTACTAGAAACTAAAATAAACTAAAATAAAAATTTGTAAATTTCTGTTTGTTTCCAGCTTTACAACTTCTTCAACGCCCTCCTTACGCACATTCCAAACACCACAAATCGAACTTCCGAATCCTCGACAGCTTCAAGAAATTCATCAATAGGTGAGCCTCAAACTTGAAATGCAAAAAATGTCTTTGATTAAGAGGCTTTTTGTAAGTAAAACTGTCATCAGAGCTCGTTACCGTCTGAATAATTCAAGAAATTCATAGATGTAGAGTTTCTCGTTTCGTATTCGGAACGTATATTTACATAAAGCTCTCTTATTTACATTACAATAAAAGCGTAGTGAACGCATTAAATCGGCTAGTGCTTAAAAATAATTGAAATTGAATCTTTTTTGCTTTAAGAGGACCTTGACATGAAATTCGAGGATGAATCGGACGAAGGCGAAGATGAGCTCTTAGAAAGTAGCGAAAGGGACCACAAATTTAAATTAGAATTTCCAATGGACGAAGAGCAGTTAAAAAAATTGATTGAACTGTACCGACGAAGACGGGTAAAAATCACCTTCATTTTTTTTAACTCGTGAAAATTTAATACGAAAATCGATTGATTGAAAGCAACAGTTGCGGACGTGCTTAATCCAATTTTTATACTGAAAATCAAAGCTGAAAAATTACTCATTTAGAGCATCAACTGCTCGAAAAAGCACTCAAAGAGCACGAGAAAATGAGTTCTAATTAAGACTCAGTGTTTACTGCAAAATTTTCATGTCCAAATTTTTCATGTAAAATATTCAGATTCCACTTTCTATTACAGCACTACCGACTCCACGCTCGTTACGTGGCTGAAATCCTGAGAGAATCCATTATTAAGCTGAAAAGATTACCGAACTTGAATCTCGCCTCCACAGCGATATCAAAACAGATAACAGTGTGTGGAGATCTTCACGGAAAACTCGATGACCTTCTCGTCATCTTCCATAAGGTAATTATCAAGTCGATCTCAGCTTTAATTTTTTACATTAATGAAATATCGACCGCTGGTATAACCTTTCAAGACTAAACCAAACTTTCTTTGAATTTTGTTATTGTCCGATAATTGCAAATTCTGGTTAAGTTTCCCGACAAAATTGAATTTGGAGGAAAACAGGACAATCTGGTTATGTGCTGGGCGCTGTGTAAAGACGCTCCATGCTAAGTAAATTACTGTTACGTGGTGGACACTTGATATTCATACCACAGAGTCGACGTATCATTGTTAAAGCCCCGGTTTGTTCAAAGAACCTGACCAAGATAACAGAGATAAATAATACATATATTCAATAACATAAACACGAACGTCGGATTATTTAGAAACCATTTTGGTAAAAAACCTTAACAGAGTTTCAATGCAACATCTAAGTATATTTATTTCAATATTTAAAAATGTCACCCGGCGCATCCACCAAAATTAAGCATAGCTTATTATAATGAAATAAGTTCTTACACTATTAAAAAGTATAATAAATCTTTCTTAAGTAGATATAAATAACCCATAGTTAGCACACAATAATCATAATTGCTGTCTTGTAAATTCAGATTTTTAAAAAAATAAATTTGATGTAGGACTTGTAATGTGTACTTCTCCCTTATTTATATTATTAATGCACAAACTTCTCAAAACAAACAGTTGCCTAACAACACACAGAAAACGTTCATTAAAATGTGGATGCTTGTTTGTCCTACAAAGAAAAACATTAAGGCTGACAAACAATCGATAGCCTCAACTTCTAGTTAGTAATTTGAAAATCACAAGATACCAAAAAAAGCAGCGCCTATTTGAAAATTAAAAAAAAAAAACAAATGTTTGCTGCATAAAATAGAAATTAATTAAAAGTTTCAATACACTTGATAAAAACACCTAAAATTTATTAAGAATTAAGAATTTCTTAAAATTGGATTTTTCGTTTATTTAAACATAACACTTGGAAGAGTTCCAAAACTTAAATTTTCAGAGACGCCAAAGTACTAATTCAGTTTGACGAGGAATCAATACAATTTCTGTGCCAAGAATTACGATCACGAAGCAGAAGTTATCCAAAATAATTTTAATACTGCCAAATTATTTATTGATTTTTAAAAGATGCAAAATGGAGTTTCAAAAAGTCATTTGAAGTTTAACATTCCATAAACTACTATTTTCGTTAAACAAATTAGCTGATTGGTACTTAATATTCCGTCGGTGCGTCTGCCATCTCTGTTGAATTTGAAAGTAAAAGGTTTTAGTTGAAATCTTTCATTAAAAATATAAACGCTACAAATGTATCAAAAGAAAAATAGTATGTTATATGCGATATCTCTGTCCAGTCTTGTTCCATCTAGCCGAGTTACATCTCTGTGACCGATTCGTGTCGCATTAAAACATCGCTAGAGCTTTCACTTTATTGCATGAAAAGGTAAATCCCGTCTCGTCTTGTGGTTTTATTATTGTAACGTCCTTCTCAACTGTGAAAAACCATCGGTTTAATTATTAAGAAATGAAATTGATGTGGGTTTACTTAATGATAATCTTGTTTTTAGAACGGCCTACCATCACCGGAAAATCCATACGTGTTTAATGGAGATTTCGTCGATAGAGGAAAACGGGGCATTGAGGTACTCCTTGTCCTCTTATCCTGCATGCTCGTCTATCCTGGAGGTGTTTTCCTGAATAGAGGAAACCACGAGGACAATATAATGAATTCGAGGTGAATTTGCCAAGGGGATGTGCGTATGACAACCCTACTAATTAGTTAAATCAATTCACAATTAAAACGGGCACTGATTACAGGTATGGATTCATTAGAGAAATGCAGTCCAAGTATAGGGTAAGTTAAATTCTTCTGTTTTAATTTTCTTTTAAATAAAGTCTTCAAATGAATGGTCTCCCCCATCCAAAATTCAGGCCAATCGATATTTATTTACTCACCACATTGTGTTTTTCACAGTTTTATTATACATCAAAAATTTGCGCGAAAAAGTCCGGTTTTTGTCTTAAAAAGCGGAAACAAAGCCATGCAGTGCTTTGACGCACACCACTGTTTTCTACTCTATTATCTCGTAAAGCTTACATGCGCATCGATTTTCGTGTCATGATAAACCCCCAGCGAACGTTTTAATTTAAGAGGTGTCATATTATTTCGTATAGATTGGCCATAATGATGAATCACCCTTCCTGACAGTTGACTCTTGATCACTCTCTATAAAAATTCTCAAGAATCCATCCAAAACTTCCCTAACAAATTTCGCCCATCCCTCGGCTTATCCAGACCCTTTTTTATTTCGTTCTGACCGAAATTGCAATTCGCATTAAAGTGACAGTTATTTAATCGGTCGCACTGCGCCAAAAGAAAACATGAATGAATTCAAGACACCAATTTACAATTTTCCGGGATCTTAACTGAATAATCCGATTAATTTCGAATGAAGTAAACACGGCCCAGGAAATTGAAGAGAACCGCGTTAAGTGAGCAAAGACTAATTTGATTCCAGAGGAACTCCGAGAAGTTATTGAAGTTAATTGAAGGAGTGTACCGGTGGTTACCTTTGGGCACTATCGTTAACAACAAGGTGCTGATAGTTCATGGAGGCATCTCAGACACCACCGATCTCGATCTCATCAGGAGTTTGGACAGGGGAAAGGTGAGTGCCTCTTGGAATACATTTCACGAGTGCTTTCTAAGCTGAATTTTAAAAGCTCAAGGATACGTACGAAGCGCCATTACTTTAAAAGGTTACGAAATAAAATTTTTGAGATGGTAGGTCATGCTTTACTGTACTTTTAAACTACAACTGCGCTGGGAAATAAACTAAAACCTTCACAATTTGTTTATTGAAAGAAGGTTTACTATTTTAAGTAGCAAACATGAAAAAGATTTCATTCTCTAATTAAAGGTTAGCAATCACAAAATACTCATTCGTAATGTTCTATTTTAATGCCGTTAAGTAATGAAGTAACAAAGTCATTACCAAAAACCTATCATAAAAATAAAAGTATTTATAAAAAAATAATGTTCGTGTAATTAGGTATAATTTTTTTATTGAATCAAAACAACTACACTAAAATGAACTCATCACGGAAATGACTTTATTAAAAGACAAATTACAGAAAATATTAATAAGTAAAGTCTGCCCAAAGATATACCGTTTTACGACTTAATCCGATATTTAAGGTTCACAAATTTTTATGGTGGTTCAGCCACAGAACACCATTTTCAGCCTGCAATAAACAAACCCAAACAGATCCCCTCGATGTTGCTCCAGACCCAAAATCAGAATTTTTATACTTAGGTTTCACCAATTGTCTGTTTAACTAATAATAATTAGTATTATTAAAAGTCATATTCACTCTAGATTTTATATGTATAAGAAAGTCTAGAGAACAGTGCATATTTAGCACGATTGTTACTTAAAAGTCTTAAACAACAGAATATTCTAAATACGGTCCTGACCGGTGCTAAGCGTGCCGGGTTTCAGATTAATGAGTGGGTGCCAATAGAGATATCAAGGAATAAATATCGAAAAAGTCGTAAAAACGGTATATCTTTGAGCAAACTTTACATGTATTAAATGTCTCGAATAACCCATTACTTTGAACAGATTTGCATACAACATGATGTAAATTTCCATGAATAAAACAGCGATCATCACAAAATCTTTTTTTTAATCAAAATAATCAATTGTCAATCTCCTAGTTCGTGCCTGTTTCATTGACAATATGCCAAATCCTCTTCTTTCAGTACGCTTCTTTGTTACGGCCGCCTATCAGTGACAGTTCAGCCCCTGGAGCCGAACTCATCGATAAGGTAGAATGGAAACAGGTAAAAAAGCGCTGAATGTGTCGGAATGGCAAAATTTACGTTCTCATTGTAGGTATTTGATATTTTGTGGTCAGACCCTCAAGTAGGAAATGGTTGTATTCCGAATGCTTTACGAGGAGCCGGGACGTACTTTGGTCCGGACGTGACGAAGAATTTTTTGGAAAAAAACCGAATGTTGTTCATTATCAGATCCCACGAATGTAAATCGGAAGGATACGAAGTGATACACGATAATTCGGTAAAATTTGCATAAACATTTTATTCCTTCGCGATTCCATTACAAGTATGAGTAGGTGTAATAAGGCTATTTCGCTTCGAGAATTTACATTTTCGATTTCGAGGCGCTCCGAGTGATTTTTAGACACCTGAAAAATTCGATTATTAAATTCAAAGTTAACGACTGCAACTGCTCAAAATAAGTCATTAATCATTATCATCGGCAGACAATTTTAAATCTAAAAACAGTATTTCAATTTAAAGTTACTTGGATTTTGCAACACCCAGGAGCATTTTTTTTCGTTCTTTTTTTCAAATTGTTATTGAGTCGAGCAGATATCTGGTAATAGTTCAATATCTCGAAAACTACTCGCTTCTATTTGTTTTTCCAACCAAAATTCGACAGTCTCATATCACAAAAAGCTTTGTTAGAGCATATGAGTACGCATTTTACTTTCTTCTTAGATCATAACGATATTTTCGGCATCAAATTATTACGAATTGGGGTCGAATAAAGGAGCGTATTTAAAACTAGTGGGGCCCCAGTTAGACACCCACTTTGTTCAGTATATGGCAGCCGCAGGGAGAGCGAAAAGGTTAACGTTTCATCAAAGGATAGGTCTAGTTGAAGCCTCTGCTATACGGGAACTTCACGGACAAATAATGGCGAACAAGACCAAATTGGAGAAGGAGTTCGTCAAAGGCGATCCTGAATTGACAGGTTTGTATGCTTACCCACACCGATTAAACATATACACACACAAATGAAGATGTTACAGTATTTGGTCCACTCAGTAACGAGTATACCAGCTTATTACATAACAAGTAATTAAATTAACTAATTAAAACCATCTTTTGATTTCTTACAGTTCAAAACAAAATTTACAAAAAAAAAAACAGATATCGATATAAAATTAATCATTTTCACATTTACCTCACACTTTCACATTTTTGTTAAATCAAATTACAGCAAAACTGCTTAATTATCTCGCACTGTCAATGGCAGACCAACTTCATTTCTGAGTAAAGCACACTAGCCATAACCAGAAAACTGTTGCTTTAATCAATAAATTTTTGAAATCGATAAGCTTTAATTTGATAAATGTCAAATGATTTTACCTTAATTGGATATCATTAGTATGTCATCAAAGCTTCTATACTAAATCGTATGCTTAAACATTAACTATACATTGGTAGAGAATTTGAATAGATACTGATAAAACCAAACTACTAAGCTTTGAATTACAATAGTTCGCTAACTACTTCCTAATAACTGTCAAGGAGGAAGCTCGTTATCGAGAACTTTTACCAATACTAATTTGAGCGACGTAAATAAACTATTAAAAAAAAATAATTTGTCTAATATGAACTCCAAGTAAAGAAAACAAAGCTTACTAAAAGAAAAATATCGAACACATGCTCGCATTATTACGTAGGTACTTAAAAATTCTAGAATGGTTGGAACAAACTAGAAACAACCAAACCAAAGGCTACAAAAACCAGTATTAGTTAGCGCTTAGATATTTAAAGCATAAAACATGTTAAAACAATTTAATATTCCCTCAGACACTACAATAACAAACATATTTTTTGAAACTACAGCCGAATAAGCGAGGTTGTGTTATTTTTCGCAATCTTGAAAATTACTACTAACAATTAACAAAGTTTTTAAATGGTCATGTTTTGTTATGAACTTTTACAAAGAGAGTTGTTGGCCGCAAGATAATACATATATAATAATATGTATCAGGTGAATAAAAAGTATGGAACCAAGCGTTTTTTTCGTAAACTAAGCACTTTACGAAAAAAATAATTAGTGTAGCGTAAAGTACATTTAAAATGTGACCATTTATCAAGAATAACATTTTTCGAAATTTCTTTTCGTTTCTAGTTCTGGAAAATTTTTTTTTTTTTAAATGGCAACCCACCATGGTAATTTTTTTAATTAAAGATTATGATCTAAAAATGACCTCTAATTAAATAAAATTGTTTTTTAGCCAGTACTTTTTTTTATTAATTGTTAAAGTTGCGTTCCGAGCTCATCACGAAGATTTTCCGAACATAACCGAAGTGGTTGTTTCATGCTTTTCATCATGGGAGAGCGCTGATTTCTATGCAGGTGCTTTGGGGTGGTTTCGAGTGGACTTAAAATAGAAGAAAATGATTTGTTTTTACATTTTTTGATCCATCCGGAACCACCCCAAAGCACCTGCACCAAAAACCAGGCTCTCCAATGTCCAAAGTCATGGAACGACTCCCTCGTCCAAGTTCGGAAAATCTTCGTGATGAGCTCGGAACGCAACTTTAACAATTTATTAAAAAAAAGTACTGACTAGAAAACAATTCTGTTTTTTTAGAGGTCATTTTTAGATCATAATCTTTAATTAAAAAAATTACCATAGTGGGTTGCCATTAAAAAAAAATGTTTTTCCTGAACTCGAAAACGAAAAGAAATTTCGAAAAATGTTATTCTTGATAAATGGTCATATTTTAATTGGACTTTACGCTACACTAATTATTTTTTTTTTGTAAAGTGCTTAGTTTACGAGAAAAAACGCTTGGTTCCATACTTCTTATTCACCTGGTATAATAATTTCAGCATTTACTAAATTGCTTCAGTTCCATTGGTTCATGAAACTTATGAAAAATTAAATGTTCGGAATGTTCCAGTAAGCATATGAGCTATTTTATCTTGCCTTAGATTTACCATGACTTCGTCGAGCACATTGCCTGTCATAAAATTAATATTTATAAAAGCGTCCACCTCTATGCATTAGCAAATTAACAATTAGTTTAAATAATTGTATAGTGGAAGCTCAGAATGATGAAGTGCTCATTTACAAAGAAGGGTTGACTAAATCGTATTATAGTTGAAAACACTTTTGCTAAATTAATTTTTCCAAAACGCTGGTGTGTTTTAGGATATATCACTCTGAGTGAATGGTGCAAATGCATGGAGAAAGCCACAAGCCTCGGCCTTCCCTGGAGAATGCTCAAAGAAAAATTAGTGACCGTAGATCCCGAGACTCAGAAAGTTAATTATAGTTCAACATTCGAAAACATTAGTAGTTCCAAAATAAATGTGAGCTTGTCGTTTTTCATTAGCTTCTCTTAACCACCCCTGTTTCCAGTCCGTCCAAGGCGCTAGCACAGTCGTGGAAACCCTCTACCGAAATAAGGGCAATTTGGAAACAATCTTCCGCATTATCGATAAAGACAATTCAGGTAAAACCCTCCCGACCACATCCTCTAATAAACTTATCCCCAACCCACGTAGGTTACATAAGTTTGGACGAATTTTCCGAAGCATGCAACCTGATAAAGGAGCACATGCCTAACCCGATCACGCAAGAACAGCTAGTAGAAATTTGCCGTCTGATGGATATAAACAAGGACGGTTTGGTGGATTTGAACGAGTTTCTGGAAACTTTTAGATTGGTGGACCCTGAAAGCCGACACTTGGACGATTCAAGTCCGATTAAGACTACCAACGTCGAGATCAATGCTCAAAGCTCGCCCCAGGATAGTCCAGTCACTCCCAGACACGTCACACTCACAACGTCGCCAAAGTCTCCCAAAGAGTCTTCCCTCGAATGCAACAACACGAATAATGTTAACAATGTCTTGACTCAATCTCCTGTCCTTAGTAGCAGACGCGGTGATTAATTTTTTCTTATCGCTTCTAAACATATCTTGGAATTTTCTCACTTCAGCGTTTCTCTTTAATCTCTTTTGCCTTGAATCTACCTGCCTTTAACAAAATTTTGATAATTTAGCCATTATTGCCTAATTTTTGTTGCTTTATCAGGATTTGTTAGAGGAGGTAACTATATTACCTGAACGACGACGCAATAAAGGTGTGCTTACAATTTTATGATATATACGGGGCCATTCATAGGGGTTAGATAAGCATATCTCTAACGTATTGTAAACTGTTAATTGTTCAAGAATTATATGCCATTATTACGTTGAATTGTATTCTCTAAATGTGATATTATTTTTATATTGTTATTTTAAGTAAATATAAATGTAAATATATTTATTATAAATACTATAAGTACATATCTCAAGACGAAAATTAATTATATGACACGACCAAAATAGAACCGAGTTGGTCAATTCGTGGGTAGCTGGGAAATAAATTTTTGGCCAATTTGTCTTTCTAGTTTAGTTAAAATTTTGCATTGTATAACCTTACGCTTAATAAACGCCGTTAAGAAAAACCGATTGCTTTTATAAAACTTTATTCAGTTTAGTACATTATCATTTCTTACATTAATACATAACACATCCACGCACACATCCAGTGCATTCACGCAAAGATGAACTAATTATGAGAGCATTAGGAACTCATTAAAGGGATCAACACCGAAACAATGTAAGAAATGATCGATGATGTGATTTTTATATAAACATGAGGTAAATTTAAGTAATGCAATTCTTATCAGTACATATTACAAATATATTTACAAATATCGTGCAATATGCACACAATGCTTTGACGGAAGTCCTCATTGAACTGTCCATACAGCGAATTACAATATTCACAAATCCATACACTTTTCCACAGACATTATAAAATTTCAACAGTAAATTTCAACAAGAATTTATCTAAAAACGTAAGAGAACAGCATACAGCGCTCATGAAAATTCAATGACGTAATCCACCCTTTCGATAAATGCTTGTAAAAATGAAACTATGAAAAAAAATCTAATCTAAGGTGTGTGCACTCATTTCAACCAAATATACCAAAATATGTCATTGTACATTATGCAATACATAAATAAAATAAATAATGATCTGTTTAAATGGAATGATTTTTTTGAATGTTACTGGAGAACGAAGGCAACAAGTCCTGAAAATTTTACTTGTTAGAAATCATCCCCTAACCGCTAATACAACGAATTTTTCTCGCTCGAATCCGGCCGGTTCTGAAAGAATACCACAAATAAAATATTTTACAATTTACAAATTTTATTAAAAATAAGCTTCCGATCAAAACATTTTCGTTCCAAGCCAAAATAGTTTTGATCTCACTACACTTTAACATTCGGAATCACAGCGGTCTATTTAATAAATGACGACTCTCAATCTACAATTTTTCATAAACATCATTACAAGTCTTTTAATTACTTTCACTCTAAATAAACACACAATCATTCATTTTCCCTTCATCCATCAAGTGAGTCGACACTTTGTTACATGACATTTTTGCCAAATCCTCCAGCTAATCGCTTCCAAATGCGCCCACGCAACCGAAAAATACGAAATCACTTTTCAGCTATAAAAATCGGCTTGGAGATAACAAGATTGTTCCTCAAACAGAATTTATAGCAGCAGTGCACATAAATGTAAAACCCCATCCTCAGACTGCAAACACACATAAAACTGATTCAAGACAATAAAAAACGAATTTCATGCACGGTAACTCGACGTTTTTCATTAAAGCCGAGATTCTACACAATAAAAACGAATTACAACAGCACTTTTTGTTGTTTATCACAATTTTCCATACTTCACATTTCTAAAAAAAATATACACAACTTTAAGAATTTTTTTATAAATACCCAATGAGATCAATATAGACCGACATTCATGCGATAAAACATTCAAATAAATAAAAGACTTGTAAATCTTAGCGAAGATCGAGATACGCCACAATCTTAACATCCAAAAGACAAAATTTTACCTAAATCGTTAAAAAGTTAGTAAAATAAATAAATAAAAAAATCCAGCTGTACATTTACAAAAAAAAATAAAACTAAGAAAGGAATCGTATTGTATCAGAAAGGAAAGTCATGTATGACAATTTGAACTAGTGGACGGGATATCGATCGTGTGACTCTCATTCCCAAATATTAACCTTAATCTTTTCATGGGTAAGTGAGTCACTTCTTCACTTTGTTTTAATTTCTTATCCCTTTTCCTATCTTTCGATTTATGCCTTTTTTTCCTATGTGAATAAGGTGTATATTCTACCCCTTCCACTCTCAATACTTCATACTCCGGTTCAAAACTATCCTCACTAAGACTATTCCCAGACTCTATAACTTCATCTAAAACTGGACTCCGTTTCATTCTTAATGTCAATTTCAACCGGCCGCACTTTTCCGGTGTTTTCTCCTCTTGAATCGTCTCCGACGAATAAACCGTTTCGGTTTTAGCCCCGTGCCAATTGTTCTGATTGTCGTCAGACTTTTCTCTCGAGTCTTCACAATCAATTTCGGGTTTTATCACATTATCACCATTTGTCTCTTTCGTTCTGTTCCTTCGCAGACATAAGGAGTCAGTTTTCGATTCTTCGTCGTCGAACTCGTATACGTCTTTATCGTTATTGGCAGTGATATTGTTATTCAACTTGGTAAGACGCGACGAATGACGGGTTTTTACGCGAGCCGTACTTTTGCATACAATGTTACGTTTTGTTACGTGTGCAATACCGTTTTGGTTACAGATGACCTGAGGTTCCAGTTTCGGCATTACACTCTCAGGTTTTTCAACACTGAGACATTTCTGGCTACGTAATGTGATGCCGTTCTCGTTTGTTTGCATCGGAGTCGAGGGACGATCTGCAAAAAATTATTACATCGTACAAAATGTTGTTTTTTCAATGTTAATAGTAAACGTATTTCATTGAAACATTACCTGTAATTTGTGGCACCCCTTTCCCACTCTCGTGCTTGTCATTAAATTTTTTATTCTGTTGTGTGGCATCACAAACTGGATCTTGATCGCTGTAAGTGCTTGTACAACTACTCGCGTTACTCTGCAAGTCATCTAAAAGATTAGATCTTGATACATTATGAGTGGCAGTTTGCATAAGCTCCTGATTCGCCTGTCTCGCTTGTCTCCTTTGAAGTCTGGAAGTTCTTGAACTAACCAAGGCTTGCGGTTCTTCATTTATCACAGATTTTTTTACTTCAGATTTTTTATTATTATTGTCAGTACCCGATTCCTTCTCACTACTCGCACTCGACACACTTAACCGGTTCTTTCTCTGAAATTCCCCAATATCCGAAAACTTACACCCCTGTGCTATCAAAAGTTCAGCATCGTATTTCGTCAACCCCTTCTGTCTCAACTCTTTCATACTCAACGGCGCCACGATTTTCTCCTCGCCGCGATTACCACCAAACTGTTCCTCTTTGTTATTGTTACACCTGATTTTCTGCTTGGTCCGGTTAATTCGGTTATCGGTTTCGCGTAATCTATAACCGTTTTCCTCCTTTTTGTCGCTTTCTTTAACGAAAGCACCCATTCCGCGTCTCTCACACGTTTCGCACTCGCAATAGCAATTTTTATCACCGAAAAAATCTTCACCGTAGAAACACGTAATCTCCTCACCTGCCTCGATATCGCGCAAAACTTTGACACACGCCGTGTCTCTACCAGTAGCCACGAATTTACAATTCGCCCTACAGTCGTGGTTGATATAAGCAGCAGGACCCAACCAGAGTTGTGCACAATTCTTTCTGCAACTGTACATCACGGAAAAGTCGTTTTTTCCAGGATGAAGAAGCTGTTTTTCCTCTTCTTCGGTCAATTCGGCGATGCAACCCACCAAACATTCGATTTTGTCGTTTTTGTACCATTTTTTCGTCGCTGAAATTTTAGCGCCCTTTTGACCTTCGAGAGAGTAACGATAACAAGGTTCAATTACGAAACCTGACTCTTTGTCGAATACCCTTAGATAGCGATAAATCTGGAAACCAAAAAGGGACTCATTGTGGGCGTGTGATTTACGAGGTGTAGCAGTAACAAAGACGTGAAATGTGTTTGCATAAAGTTAAATTAGACTTGAATTGAAAATCGGTGAAGTGTTTACTTCAAATCAAAGTTAGATTAACCCAGTCTTGTAAATCTTTTTCTTTTACTTATGCTTACTTCAAAATTTCATTATTATGCATTATTTCTCGTTAATCAAATCGAGCATCCCCCATTCGAGAAACTTAACTTGATTTTAACTACTAGTTGTAACTTTCGTAAAACTAATTACCTTTCAAATTTTTCAAATAATTTTTGCATGTGTAAGTACTCGTATTGTTAGTCTATTTCTTATACAACTCAAAATTGTATTAAGACATGAAAATACAGTGTTTACGGTCTTGAGGTTGAAATTTAAATGAGATGATATTTACGGTAGAAGAAAACGAATACGCTATATAAAACAAAAATTCACGTTGTTAAAGGAAATTATTCATTTTACACTATTTGTTTGAGAACTGCTGCTTCGGCTGCAACAATGGCCATTAGTATCATTACCTTGTGTTTCACCGTAAATCATAATCACYACAACCAATTTATTATTTTAATATTTTACCTTACGTGTTCATAAATTTGGAGAAAAATTAAGAAAAACGAATCAAACCTATTGGAAACCAACCATTCGCTGAAAGAAGATCTTCGAATTTTGATAAACACTAAAACAAAAGCAAATCAAATGATGACAGTGTCAAAACTATGAAGTGACTTTTTTCTTTCATTGTCATGGATACGATTTTTTAATCTGTTGCAACCACCGCCTCCTTAATGAAATGTATCAATATCCCGCCTGGGCATTTCGTAAAAAATGCATTGGAGCAGTGATTCCGATTTTTTCTTAGTTACGGGGGTTACTAAGGAAAAACTGAATGATTTTTAATTATTAACAAAAAATAACGCAATTAATAAATGCTGGGAAGGAAGGATACAACAAAACAAGATACGCCAGGGAGAATTGTTATTATGAGGTTGAACCCTTTAAGCTAAAAAACTGGATATGTCAAAAAATTTCCCCAGATTAAGGCGCCAACGGGAATCGGTTGAACTCAAAAAATGCCCAGGCGAGAAAAAGATTATTTCTATGGAGACGGCGATGGTTGCAACAATACTATTTTATCTGAACAAGGAAATAATTCCAGTGAACCTCAAACCGTGTACCAATATTTTCAAGCTAAATAACATTCTTGATAATAACAATTGTGTGAGTTTTTTTCTCGCTTACAGTATTTCTGTACTATTCTATTACTAGGTCAATTTTCAACTCCAAGACTGTAAACACCCTGTATACAAACCATTATCAAGTCAAAGTCAATTTATCTAATTAATATTTTATGAGTAAAAAATCCGTCATACAGTAAGTTAGGTACCTTATCTTCTCAAAAAATTATATCAATTGATTTTTGCTCATCACTTATCGTCTACTTGTAACAAAAATACCGTCAAATTAAAATATTATTATAGCTCAGTCAAAAGAATTACCATAAAACGTGCAAAAAAAAGCTACTATAAAATCGAAACAAACTTCCACCTTCTCAGCTGAAGGAAGCTTTTACTTAGAATTATTAAGATTCAACATGCAGCTCAGGTTGATGTAGGCAACCCACATTACAACTAAAAAAATCACAACATAAAACTTACCTTGTATCTCATGACACTTAAAGTATAAATACAATATAAATTTAACAGTTAATTATAAGAAAAGTAAAATAACAGTGGTATAAAAAAAATTAAATCATGAATATATACTTCACTCTCTGCACTGAGACATTACGGGTTGCCTAACCTTTAATAAAAATTAGGTTAGCATTTGTACCAATTAATAATTTAATTGTTGAGAAGTTAGAGGCGACCTATGGCTACCAATATACTTACATGCTCCTTGAGTTTGTTCTGTTGGATTTTGGATTTGATTTTGGGCATCCATTCTCCTTTAGCAATACTGTTGTAGGCTTTCTCATAATTTTGAGTTTTTTGAAACTCTTCCACAATACTTTTAAGTTCAGCAGTATTCGTTTTGATGGGCCTATACCTAAGATTCATTTTATGTGTGGTGAATCCGAGATGTGGGTCCAACACCAACGATGTAGCCCAATCATCATTTTCGGATAATTCACGTGGATTCATCCCAGCGGGCTGCATTTTGTGATGAAAACTCCTCAAAGGTACATCCACAACCATTATGAATACTGCAACAATTCAGAAAATTAAAGAATTTCCATCCATCAGCATGTAAACAAATAGGTTGAAATTCAAGGTCAACGGACAGGCCGACAACAAAGAAAATTTTAGTTTTTTTAAATGTCAAATTATGACACTCCCACACTAATTTTTAATTGAGCTTTTTCCGATCTTACATTCTAAAGATCACAAAATTGACACGAAATGGGGTACATTTTGTAATCGAAACGTAGGATTAAGGCGAAAAAAACGCGATTTTCGCAACCGAAAAATGATGGCGTACACCGTGTAGCCATTGAACCTAACACGTCAAAATCGAGATTTCAATATTAACATGACTTAGTCCGGTACAACTGACCCTAAATATCTAATCCGCAAGCTTAAATTAAAGTATTATTACCACTTCACTGCTGATTCCCTTCTAAATAACCCACATAATATAAAAACTTTTCTACTTGGACATCTTTGCAACGACGCTTGAAATCAATCATGGCAGTCGCTTTCCCGTATAGTCATTTTTGATTAATACAACATTATTAGCTTGATCGGGTCTAGTGCAGACACAAAAAGCCTCTACAAGAGACATTTTGTAAGTAAATAATGCTGTTTTCAAGCAAAAATTATTCTACTTTAGAAATTTCATCTCATAAACATAAGCTAGCACAGTAACAAACCAAATTGTACAGAAGTATTTTATCAGCTTGGGATACTTGACGTTATTGTCAGAATGAAAGCGGTGAAGGCCAATACGACTAATACGAGGAAAGCTGGCGATTTTTAAAAACAGAAAACTTCACAGAAAACATAAAAACCTACTTTTTTCCTATTTTTTTACATATTTTTTTTATCCAAATAGTGATACGATAAAGAATTTTTTGTATACGCTATGAAAATCCCTATAAAATCTTTAAAAGTTGCTGTGAGGAAGAGTTGTGAAATTAGCGAAAAAATTACTGAAAAAAAAACTACTGAAAACGCCGGAGGATTTACGTTGAATTCAGCAACAATTTCTGTTAGCGCTACTACCAAAGAAGCCAGCGGAAGTACAATTAGTAATTGTAGTGGTTGTACGTTTAATTTTAATATAAAATAATTTGTTGGGATTATAATGTTTATAATAATGTTTTTGTATACTAAAATGAGTCTTTTCCGGACTCAATAAATAGTACGTAAAATCGTTATTGTAGGTACTCAGTCCCCAAAAAACAGTTTTTCCGGACTAAAAAATAAAATTGGTTATTGTGGTGGCGATTTTTTTTAATTGATAAGAGGTGTGAATTCGTTTTTTGGGAGCTTTAACAAAAATTTTTGTTTGAAACATGTACCTAAAACGTTTTTGAGAACTCATCTGCTATTCCAGACTCAGTTTCACCTCGACTGGAAACAGCAACGATTCGTCCGCAAAAACTGTGTTTTAGGTACTTGTAACAAATTAGCTATTTATGTATCAAGTACGCAAAATAATGTTTTAGGGGACGAATCGACGAGACGACGTAGGAGCCGAGTCTTTATAATGAGAGGAGTCACCTAAAAACCTCTTGCGTACGTGGTGCATACAAGATTTTTTTGTTAAAGCTTATAAAGGTTACCATAGTAACCAATTTTATTTTTTAGTCCGCAAAACCTGTTTTTGGGGACTGAGTACCTAAAATAACCGCTTTGCGTACTATTTTATTGAGTCCGGAAAAGACTCATTTTGTTGACTCAAATGAGTCCCTAAAACAACTGTTTTCGGTAGCGCATACAAAAAATAACTATTACACAGGGCGACAAAAAAAGTCATGTCGTGACAACTTGACAAATTGTACAGGGTGCGCCAGAACTCGCGCCCCATTTTGTTCGTCTCAGTGAGACAAATCAAATACACTAAAAAAAAATTCATATAGTCAACACACTTTGAACTAATATAAATATTTTTTTTTCTAATTTAAATGAATTTAAAATAGGTTCTTACTTTAACTTTAAAAAATCATTACTTAATAACTAAATATTAGGCCGATTTCCTTCAAATAAAGACCATTCTAAAGGGATTCACTTGCCTTTTACAATGATATGCAATTTGAAATTGAATATTGCCGAACTTTTCTTCGAACAGTGAACGCGGTAACTAACTAACTAAAAGCGTTGTACAAAGAAGCGTTGTACATCTTTGACAACGATAACATTATTTATATTAATCACTCGATTAATCATCTCATTTGACCACCTTATAAATAGACTACAAAAAGCAAATTTCTTATTTTTTTTAATTTTTAATTGTAAAGGAAAAAGGAAAACATTATTAATTATTCCAATTTTTATTTACTAGAAATAAGTCGTATTAACTACAGTATAGCTTTACGCCGAGTCTCAATGCTACAAAAAAAGTCTTATTATTACCTATGCATTTATGGCGGCGTGATTATACTGAAAGAAACGTTATACGATTTTGGGTGGTGAATCCTTAAGTGGATATGGTTCCTGTGAACCAATGTTCAACAATGCTTCTTATGGGACCTAAAGCACTCTAAAAATGAAGAGTAAAAGGTTTTTCAATTATCTCATTAACCGATTGAGAAAAATTTACGAATATCTGCATGCGGAGTATTTTTGGTGCAGAATCTACTAGTTAACAAAAACTTTGTCCCTTAATTCTTTCAGAAAACGTTTTTGGGAAATTTTTCCGATTATTTTTACATTTTTACAAAATGTCTTTTGTTTTGTATTTGTATATATACGACCCACCGTTTTTGAAAAAACGGGAGTTTCTTTTTTAATTAATTTAGGAAGCAATTCCGGACGTGGATTATTCATAGGAACATTTTTTCTCGTGTTCATCTAATTAGGAATAATCCCACAAAGTCTTTTAACGTTTTTTTTCTAATTTGCGTTTATAATACGTTTATTAACGTCTCCAGTAGGAGTCGTTTATGGCTATCTATAAAAGCACACTGTGCTTTAATGAATTTAGGGTTATTTAGTTTTTGGATGCCGCTTTTGACTTGTCAGGTAACAAATTTTGCGTTGTTGCTTCGGCAATTTCGCGATGTTCGGGCGGAGTGCAAACCAAATTCTGTTTCTCATATTTTATTTATTATTATGTTGTAACACTAATAACTAATAATTTGTAAATTTTATTTTTAATGACAGACGACAGAAATGACTCAAAAAAACAGGTGGGCGCCGAGTGTTACCAACCGATACCAACTAACACAAAATTCTCTAGGCGACAAAAATATATATTTTTTTTAATTAAAATAAGAAAAAAGAGGGCGCAAATTAGAAAAAAAAGCATAAAATACTCGTTTTATAATGGCATTGGCGGCGCACTCATCCCATAGAAAACTCGCCTAACTTGGGATTCGTGCGCCAAATCAACCCTTATAAAACTTGTTCTTTAATATACTATTTCAGGATAGCCTATATAAAGTAAAACGAAACAAAACAAAAAATAGATATACGACTGTACAATAAAATATTATGTCCATCATACATATTTTCCTTTTTTACATTTAATCGCAACAGCTCCTACAAAACGACAAATTTTCTTCACTATACTTGAAAGCACACTTCAAAAATTATCTTAGTGCTAGTGATACTACAAGCCCTTCTATTTGTTGTGAGTTCTCTTACAAAGAGCAACAAGTTCAATTCTTACTCATTGTTACTATTGCATTCTATAAATATCATTCAATGACTAAGAGAACTCAGTTTAGTATCCGCCCATTTAAAATCATCCTGATACGTAAAATAAATCAACCAATAAATTAAATTTAAGAATCCGAAAGAAGCTGGAAAAAGAATCCTGGCAGCCCGATCAATCAGAGATACGCTGTTGACATGTCTTGGTGCGTGGCAGTGATGTCCTCGTTCATTACCATCTGCTCAAGTCAAATTAAAATCTAGGAAACTCTTCTATTTTTATTCATACTCACTCAATGCACCTGCAGCTGCTTCCCTCTGTCTCTGCTTCCGAAACTTGTCGTCTCCTTTCAAACAGTACAAAAACTGCTTCCACTTTGGAAGCCTCACTTCAGTTTGTGTTGTTCTCTCCATTGTCAATCTCACCGGAGGTGGAACTTGCGAATTCGACGTCAAAGACGTTCTGTTACTATTGTAATGGAGTACCGTATTCTAAAAATACCAAACTCAAAATCAATTACCCCATATAATTAGCTTATACGTTGTAAATAGGACAAATCAACGAGCTTTTCCTTCGTCCTGCACGGTTGGTAGAACTGAGAGAATTCTCTAGTTCAGCACCAGACATCCCAATCATTTCCTCTTCTGGCTCAATGCAGTCTTCCCAATCGTCTTCATCAACTGGAATTTCTCCACTTCCGACTTTCGTGAAGTAATGAACTCCTGCGAACTCTAGTAACGTGGCGATACAGTAGAAAAAGCTCATGAGGAGGAACCAATCCAAAGCTGTAGCGTAGCGGACTTTAGGAAGGTCGGTTCGAGAGTCGAGACTGATAGTTGAGAGGGTTAGTACGGTGGTAATTCCAAGACCTACGCGGTCGCTGGTTGCTTCCCGATGGATCCAGAAAGATACCCAGGATAACACCACGATGAGGATACAAGGGACATAGACTTGAATCAAGAAGTAGCCAGTGTGGCGTTGAAGGTTAAACGAAACTTGGAGCACAGAGAAATCGCCTAAAATAATGAAACTTTTATTAATTAATTCGTTTCCATTTTCACTAAGTATGAAGTGCTAAAGCAAGCAATAAAACTGTTTATTTCGTCCATTACAACACAGACGCCTGATGACTTTTCTTTCATTTCGATTCGTGTGACATTGTTACGATTTTACTAATACTTAATACAACTTTGGAGTTTTATTTTCGACAAAACATTGTTTAATTAGTCGATACAAACCTTCACGTCTCTTGAGCGTAAAATTCCTGTACGGAAAACTAATTAAATCAAATTGTGAGAGAGTCATCCCCGGTACAAAATTGACGCTCGCCTCATTTTGCCACCGATATAACAAATCCTTGGAAGTATAAGCATCTGAAACCAGTGAATAAGTGTCAATTCGCGTGACTTTTCCCCAAAACCTACAACTGCCTAAAATTAAAGGACACGACTGCCTATCCATGGGAAAAGTCCGAAGTTCCATCGGACATTTAGCTTTAATCGTTAACCTGAAAAAAGATAGCATTGCAAAGTCGCAATTCCGACTAATTTCGCACGGTAATGACGAAACATATCCGATTCTTCCATTGTCTCCTCTTACCTCATCGAGTATAAAATATCGCCGTCTTGACTAATTCTTAAAAGTTTGTTGGGAACGGTTATTGTATGAACATATGAGTGCTTGCCGTTGTAAAAGTAAGTATCGGGTCTCCAGATGCGTTCTAACATTTTTATTGATAGTGAGAGAGATTTTATTGGACCTAAAAATGACAAGCGCTGGTCTCGCCAGTATTGTCTGAAATAACAGTCCATTGAATATTCCTGCAAAATTTATAGCCACGATAAAATTTTTATGGGCACTTATCTCATTACCATGTCGAGTTCGGACACTGGACCCATGCTGCGGATCAAGATGTTTGTCTGGACAATGGTTGGTTGTTCTGAAACAGTGGTTTACGGTTTTTGGGTAATTAAAAGAAGTTTCTCATCAATGCAAAATGGTTAAGATCGATATACCTTATCAAGCATTTAAATAAAATTGCCCAATTTGGAAATTTACTAGATAAGAGAGTGTTCGTTTCATATACCTTTTGGCAATATCTGATTTTACTTCTATATTCCTTGGCTTTGTTGCTTTTATATTACCGTAAACTTCGTCTTTTAAGTGGTCTCTAAGGAAATAATTCACATAAGTTGGAGTTCACACTAGCCGACTCAAACTTTATGTTAACAAGAACAAAAACACTTTACATTAAAAAGTTATGAACCTATTCCTCACAAATTTATATTGCCAAAAAAGCTGGCATCATCAGGAGTCATGATATTAAAGAAATGTTAGTTATGTAGTTAGCACTTTGTATGGAAGGAAAACTACTTAAATAAAACAACCTAAAAAATAAAAAGTAAACTTTGCAAATTAAATTTTCTTTTTGTTGTACGTGACACTTTTACGTTAGTTTTGACTTACATTTACTCGGTTAAACCTAATCAGCTTAGTTACTCAATTAAGTGGAGTGGTGCGAAAATCGACTTTGGTCATGTATTTCTAATTGCCGTTCTTAAATCGCTTAAAATAATTATCTTCATTATACCACCCACAAACTGGTCATAAATAGAGGAAAACTGGAACACTTATTGTCACTTCAAACGAAAGAGTAAAATATATTTTAACAGTTGAAAACAATTATGTTATTTCAGCGGTGGTGCCAATTTTCGCGATGAACTATTAATGGTTTCAGTTTATTTTCAGCTTATCAGTTTACACTCGTATCGAACCTCGTTATTTTCACACAATTCCATCGATTTCGAGTTTATGCATCGTGTATCGGTCGACTTTATGATAAAATTTCTTGAAATTCAATCGCAAACTTGACAAATAACAAAAAGTGTGCCATACATACAAACTCCGCACAGACTGTCTAAATAAGATTTTTGATGAGTGCGAGATGATTTTCACATTTCAGGCAAGTGTGTCGTCTGTAATACACATGTTGCATCATTTATATCACACGTTGAGCAAAGGACAGCAGAAAATAACCTGTCATGTCCCGTAAGAATGTGAGTCGAATGAGCCTCTTATGTCTTCCAATAAATGTTTTTATGTTTTAAGAGTCATCAGAACTTTTTAAAGTTTAGTAAAAACTTACTTCAACTGCAATGTGAATCAAATACTTCTCGTGTTTTCCATTTTCGAACGATTTAACCGTCATCACTTTGTACCTACATAGATAGATGCGAGTAAGTATTTGGAATTCGAAATTTGATGCAAAAGTATTCATCTTGGTTTCTCTGAACCAAGAAACTATGCGCGTTTCGACATCAAAGGATTTGATGGCTCTACATTGTTTTCATTAAGGCAACATCACTCGATATGTGATGTTGACATTATTACGATGTTCGGGAGCAGATAATGATAAGTCAATTTTCGAGTTTGCGTAGCTTTATCAAGCTCCATTGCGTCCTGATTCAAAAAAATGTAGATAATGGCAATAAGGACTATTTGTCGAGAATTCGAGTGTAAGCTTCCATTTCGGAAGTAAACAAAAATTCAAGCAAAAAGAAAATCAGTGCATAGTTGTTTGAGAAGCGCAAATACACAAAATCAATGACTCCCAAAATCACAAAACAATTTAAAAAAAGGTTTAATTACCTTTTCCATGAGTTGGCAACTGCGAGCTTTCGTAATTTTTCAGCAAGTTCTCCAAGACCATCGTGATATTCTTGCTAACCACGTCGCTGAGAGACCTCCGAAAAATTTTTTCCTTCGTAGTATTAAGTGAAAATCCAAGAACCGCATTTTTTAGCGACATATTTTGTCCCAATAAATCATTTTCCAAACTAGTTCCCTCATGTTTCAGGTGCCTCAAAGCTTCCGAACAAACAAGTCTGCAAAATTAAATGTAGTTGAAAGTGTTGCACTTTTTATTGTTTGGCTAGCCACTTAGAAGTGTCGATAATTATTTGCGGTAAAAACTTTATAGTAAACAAGTCTCAGACAGAACTTTAATTTGTCCTGCAATTCTACAAGGACACAACTTTTAATTTAAAATTAAATTTGAGATTAAATTGTCTCGGGAGGCGCTTGAATAATCAATCACCTTATTGACCCCAAAGCAAATATTTGATGTCGGAATTTAGCAGTTTTCCAAATGAGTTAACAATGGAGATTCAGAAAAACTGCTGAATCGGCTCTTGTTTTGTATTCGTATTAAGAGACCGACAAGAAAAGTCGCGATTCGCCTCTTGAATTTGATGAATGCGAAACTTGCACATTTTGCATCGAAAGTAAAGAGTATTTTATCTAAGAAGATTTTATCCTTATTGTATTATTCTCAATATACGAAAATATTAAAAGATTGTTTCAGTAAGCACGTAAGTATCTAAAATATTTAGAGAAATGATCTAGGGGGAATTATGTAGAAACTTTAGCAAAAGATTCGTGAAATGGCAAGTCCCAAAGAGATTGCTTTTTACGATTGTAATTTATAGTTTAGTTAGCTTACACGCTAAATATTTTAGTACATAGTGTCGCAATATAGGTACTAAACAACTTGTTCCAGTGAGGATAATAAAGTGTTTAATTCTTGGGAAAAGAGGTAAAATATTTTTAATAATAAGAAGCCACTGAAATTTGCTTTATACCATAATACAAGAGATGTAAAACAGTAAAATGTATTACGTGTATACACGTATATCCCAATGCAAATATTAATTAGTCAAGAGGATAAATAATACCTATTTTGTATTATTTGCCTTGTTACAAGCTTTAACGAAGTTTAATGTGCCCATTGATGTAAATCAGATTCATAATATGTTCTACATTTCTAATTTTGTACAAAATAAAATTTTGTAGTACTTAACAATTTTTTAAAATAGGTATCTACCACTAATATTGTAATAATAAAAAAAATATTAAATCGTTGATCAGTTGGTGAAAAATGGCCTAGAAACATAATTATTATAATATAATAATTATTAATTAATATTTCTAAAACAATATTTTGCTAAATTAAAATTTAAAAAATGGTAAAATGGTAGCCAGTGCATGGTTTTTTTTGTCCCTCGGGCATGCTGAAAGCAATTAAAGTAGTTTCACGACGAATTTAGCCAAGAAGTGAAAATCCTTGTTTTTTCACGTTAGATGCTCCGACCAAACACATAAATATCCATTTACCAATTTACCTTATTTAATAAATAAAAGCAAAGCCCTTAAATTTATAAGAAGTTTCAGCGCGCAATGCGGAAGAATTACCGCTTAGAAAAGCCACGCTCTAGCTTAGACAATTAAGTTCATTAAAAAAATTAATTACACATGATATGAAAAAATCCGATCAAAAATGTCAAAACCGTTATATAAAAATCAAATTAATGAAACTAATTAAAACTTTGTATGAGTTTTTAAGAAAAAATAAAATATTGTTACTTACGTTACTTGTAGGAAACAAAAACCGGCCCGAAGTCCGCACATTGTTTGCTTGAACAAGGAAAACCTTGTAACTCAAGTTTTCAAATTTAAAAAAAAGAACCTCGAAAATGGAATGCGATAGACTCAGTTTTCTGTCAAGCCTGGCAAAGCTTTCAAAGAGAAACTGCGCGCGCTGTATTTTATGTCAAAGTTTTTAAAGTGCTTTGGGGCTGCAAGCATGCGCTGCTATTTTTTATAAACAATTTTTCGCAAAACTTATCATAAATTTATTGGTTGCCTTTAATCATTAGAGCCAAGTTGGAGTAAATGAGATTTCTAAACCATTACAAATTGCCATCCTAGGGTGTGAAAGTCATCCCTTGGCATCCAAAATTGCTTAGAGCAAAATAAAGCAATACAATTAGTGGCGTGGAATATTCGCTTGGGTACATTTGTGCAAAATGAGCTTTCTGCTTTTCCGGAGTATTAAAATTGCTTCAATTTTTCATATGCGGACTAGGAGGATTATTGAGACGCGTCTTTCAATTCGATTTTCATCAAAAAATGCAACGTCAGACAAAAGAAACAAGAGTTGTAGCGTGAGTTGCTGTATTGAAATGATATTAAAATCCACACAAGCTTAAAAATTGGCAAAAAATACGCCGATCCGAGTCCGGCCCTGCGAGAGCAGATGGAACGATAATTGCGAAGGATAAACTAACATATTTTTTGTCTTTTAATGATGGCAACAAAATTCCAATTAGGATAATGGAAGAGAGTTTCTGTTGTAGGGCGACTTTGTTAACAAATTAAGCTTCTAGGTATTCAATTTGCGACAGGAGCGCGTATCGACTCCCAGAGATGTCAGCATCCGACGAAGAAAGCTTCAATGGAAACGCATGCGTCCATGGACCGAATCACATTTGATAAACGGGGATGTAACAAGGGGTTACAGCTCCAAAGTTAAGCAATTATTTGTCATAAATATGCGAATAACAATCAAATAAATTGTGGTGATCGGCTTCCAAAGACTCTAAAAGTTCCGAAATCACCAACGCGGTAAACAACACCAGATACACCGAAAATAAATAAACATTAGTGTAAACAATTAATATGCACAACAAACTTATAACTAATTTAAGGATAGTTGATTGTTGAAAGTGACCTAAAGTAAAGTGAAATGATTAAAGCCAAACTCAAAGCAATTCTGTTTTTATTCCATTCAAAATGACCCTAAAATCAAGTGCTTGAAATAAGAATCATGATCACGATTATCTACATCTTTATTTCCATTGAAGTGTATTTCAGGTTTCCTCTCCTTGTCAGGTAATTTTTTCATTTCTTTCCATAATTATCGAACTTCGAAACCTTTCATAAGAGGTGCAAGGGCATGGTTTCTGTTGATACATACAAAATACTGTATTGCATTTAAAATTTTGTCACATTTGTTTTCAACTAAAATAAAAAATTATCGTCTGAAAAAACAAAGTCTTGACTTACCATTTTTATTTTATTAATAACAATAACAGCAATAATCTTTGCTTTGCCTGCGAAATACGTATTTACAACTAAAATAAAACAAAAGACAGAGCAGAACTAGTGGTAACAGAAGTAACCACCAACTACAAAAATCAAAACACACGCACGATAACGCACAATAAATCTGGTCAAACTCAATAATTTTGATGATTTTTGAAAGCCTCAAAATCAAAAAAAAAAAATACACCTGAAAATAAATTACTAAAACTCGGAATTTCTTATTCCAAAATTTACCTCAAATATTAGTAGCACATAGCCCCCGGTGGAGGTCTCGAAATGGCCAAAAGAACTAACAATAAACAAAAGAAAATGAAGATTAGATAACCCCAGCCGCACAAATCATCGCACATTTTGCATTTTCTTCACAGTAAATTTTGACGCTGTGTGACGTTTTCCAAATAATAAAACAACAGAGTGTCACAATCTGTTGCAATTTTTACCCGTGGAAAATATTCCACTAGATCTGTTTCAGAACTTAAAACTGTTTTATTCGATTCAACTTTAGTCGATGGATATTGAAAGCTCTAGTGATTCTAGAATTTAAAACGTGTTTTTCGAGCGATGTGCTATTAATTTAGGCTCGAGGGAATTTTCAAGTTGGTGAATCGAGAACAATATAATTTGCATTTTGAACTGATCAAAATGTAAAACAATTTGTAGTACTCATATTGTTTGAGAAGTTCTGTTCTGTGTAATAAAGCAACTTGTAATATTTTGCAAATTTAAGCTTCGGCAAATTTGTGTGTTTTTAATAGCTTTGCAAGCGCTTTAAATCTTTCAGGTCCCAAAGAAGTATGGTTTCAGACAGATTGGAGAACGTAACGCAAACAATTTCCCGTCTACTTGAGGGTTATGACATTCGGTTAAGACCAAATTTCGGTGGTAAGTTATCGATTTTATAAATAAATAACCGTTTCAACCAACATCTTCTAAATCGTAGGAGAACCACTTTTAGTCGGAATGGATTTGACGATTGCAAGCTTCGATGCCATTTCTGAAGTAAACATGGTTAGTAGCATGAATTATCTTCAGTTTAAAAATCATAATTTTATTAGTCTTAATTTTTTCACTTGTTTTAACTTTTCTTTTAATTTTATTAGTTTTTATAGAGTACATAAATAGATAAAGTTTTTAAAATTGCTTGTTTTAATTATTTTTTTCCATTAGATTAAAAAAATGAAATATTGAAAAATGGTGGTAAAACGAATTAGGATTAAATTCAGATTTTCCTGCTCCTTGAGCTTTACTCATCGCGAGCGTAAAACTTCGATAATCGTCTTCGCGCATCGATTTGATCTAATGACCTGATGTAATCAAGCATTCAGCTCATAGGTTTATAGATTTTCGTCAGTTGCCTCGCGTCAGTCAATACTCTGAAACAGGCTTAATTAAAATACTTTGCAGCACCCCTGCCTTCATTTAACCCCAAAATCATGCAAAAGCACGTTTTTAGCCAGCCTCCGGCGACTTAACTTAGCCATAATGTGAAAAAAGCGGAAATGAAATCGCACATTTTCAGGATTACACAATAACGATGTATCTGAACCAATATTGGAAGGACGAAAGATTGGCCTTCAGCAACGAGGAAGAGATCCTCACCCTTTCGGGTGACTTTGCCGAAAAAATCTGGGTGCCAGACACGTTCTTTGCCAACGATAAAAACAGGTTGGAGTTAAGTGTGGAATGATGTCGATTTGTGAAAAAATTTTTTTTGCGAGTTTAGTTTTCTGCATGACGTCACGGAACGGAACAAGCTGGTTAGGCTTAATGGAGATGGGGCGATTACCTATGGGATGCGATTCACGACGACTCTTGCGTGTATGATGGATCTGCATTATTATCCTCTTGATTCGCAAAATTGCACCGTTGAAATTGAAAGCTGTAAGTTGAGCTTTTAAGCCACACTCGTTATTACCGAACGTAATGGATTGTTGCTTAATTTGGCGACGAGACAATTAACAGAGTCGTAACTGAAACATTACTTCAGCGGCAAGCAAATCCATTTCCTTTTCCTTGATTAAATGCGATTTTTTACAAAAAAGAAGAAAACGTTTTAAACTTGCCAACTCAAAACAGAAAATTTATTCAATACTTTAATTAAAAATATTTTTGTTCTAATCATTATTTAAACAGGGTATTTACGGTCTTGGAGTCGAAAATTGACCTAGTAATAGAAGAGTACAAGAACACTGTAACCGAGAAAAAGAACTCACACAATTGTTATTATTAATAATGTTATTTAGCTTGAAAATATTGATACACGATTTGAGGGTCACTGGAATTATTTCCTTGTTCAGATACAATAGTATTGTTGCAACAAATAAAAAAACCGTATCCATGACAATGAACGAGAAAAGTCATTTGCTTTGTTTTTGATTTAGTTTTTAACAAAATTCGAAGATCTTCTGATTAATCTCTTCCAGCGAAATGGTTTCCAATAGGTAGATTCTTATTTTTTTTCCAAATTTATGAACTTGGATGGCAAAAATATTAAAATAATAAATTGGTTGTCGTTATTATGATTTACGGCTAAACACAAGGTAATGATACTAATGGCCATTGTTGCAGCCGAAGCAGCAGTTTTCAAACAATTAATATAAAATGAATTATTTCCTTTCACAACGTGAATTTTTGTTTTATATAGCGTATTAGTTTTCTTCTATACCGTGAATTTCATCTCATTTATATTTCAACCTCAAGACCGTGAACACCCTATACAGGGTGTTCGGTCCAAGTCGCCCCGGTCGATAACACCTAAACTTACTTTTTTTTTCAAAAACTAAATTTTCAAATAATACTTACTATACATTCCTCGTTTTCTTAGTAAATGCATAAAATTTATTTGGCACATCCGGTGTAGCCGGAAATGCTACCAAATTTAGTTTTTCAAATGGAACACCTATGTTTTTTTGCTAGAAACAATAATAATTGGCATAAAAAATACGGTAAACCACTATTTATTACATTTTACTTTACATAATGCACTCTTGCACTTTAAATTTTTGAATTTTATTGCAAATTTTGCAACGTAGGCGGATTTTATTTGCAAAAAGCAATATGCTTGGATACCGTTTAATTGTTAGTTTGACAAAGCCTAATTTGTCAATAAATCTTATTGAGATCTTTAATAATGGATGATATTAATTACGACGAATTGGTAGATCAGCTTGAAGTGTTTTTTAAGTGCAATAAAAATAGAGCGGAAAGCTGAAAGATTATAGACAAAAATACTCAAATAGAGTTAACCCAAATCGTTGGAAATTTAGTCAAATTGAAAAACAACTAAGACCTTCTTAAAACTAAAAAACCTGTGGTTCTTTGTGAGGAACAAAAAAATAGAAATCTGAATGTTCTGTTATCAGTCGAAGAAAATCTCTCATAAGAGAACTCGCTCATCAACTGACAAATTAAATTTATTAAACTGTCTCCAAGCATTTTTTTATTCACACCTTCCCTTTAAAATTAAAAATCAGGCTACCCGACCAATTTCTTTATAAAATTCTATGATTTAAGATGCTTTTTGATTGCATTGTGTTACGCATAATGTAATAAATAGTGGTTTACAGTATTTTTCATGTCAATTATTATTGTTTGGAGGAAAAAAAAATAGGTGTTCCATTTGAAAGACTAAATTTGGTAGCATTTCCGGCAACACAAGATGTGCTACAAAAAAATTAATACATTTATTAAAAAAAGCCAAGAATGAATATTATTACTTAAATATTTACTTTTTGAAAAAAAAAGAAGTATGTTTAGGTGTTATCAGCCGGGGCGACTTGGACCAAACACCCTGTATAGTTAAAAATTATTATAAAAAATTATTATCTATAATTATATTATATTCTAAAAATTATAATAATAATATTTATTATTATAATAAAAGTCAAACGCTTCATCAATAAAGCGACAAAATTTCATCCGGATCAAATACTTGTGAAGTTAATTAAAAAAAAATCAGAATGAAACAAATGTTGGTTCACCAATCTTTTAATCATTGCTAAACAATAATTTAATCAATTAATAACAATTTGTAGATGGTTATACGGTGTTAGACGTAGTAATGTATTGGAAGGAAACCCCCGTCCGAGGGGTGGAAGAAGCGGAACTTCCCCAATTCACAATCATCGGCTACGAGACGAACGACAGGAAAGAGCGTCTGGCGACAGGAATTTATCAGCGCTTGTCACTATCTTTCAAACTCCAAAGAAACATTGGATATTTCGTCTTTCAAACATATCTACCCAGTATTCTCATTGTGATGCTATCTTGGGTTTCCTTTTGGATAAACCACGAAGCGACCAGTGCTAGAGTCGCTTTAGGTTTGCATCTACCCTCCTGAACGAGTAAAAAATCATTTCAACCAATTCCAGGCATCACAACCGTGCTGACGATGACAACAATCAGCACAGGAGTCCGTAGCTCCTTACCCAGGATAAGCTACGTCAAGGCGATCGATATTTATCTCGTAATGTGTTTTGTGTTCGTTTTTGCGGCACTTCTTGAATATGCCGCCGTAAATTACACTTATTGGGGGGCGAGAGCTAAGAAGAAAAGTAAAAAAACGAAAGAAGAGGACAAGAAACCGGGAAACAAATCGAACGAACAAAGCTTCTCTAATGAAGACATAATCGAACTCCAGGACGTCAGAATGAGTCCAATTGCGTCTATTCGAAACCGTCACAACTCCAAAACGCACGTTTGTGACCTCGACTCGTCAAAGTTTCCTCCGAGTTTTCGCATTTCCCGGACTTCGGGTTATACTTACAATTACCGGACTTCGGGAGGATTAAGGTTCAGGGGTCCGAAAGGTGTTTCCAAAAACACTTTTATTAATCTAGTTATAATTTTGAATTTTCAGGAAACTCCGTTCACAGACCCAAAGTCCTGCACGCCATTCGAAAAGGAGCTTTGGTTTTGAAAGCTTCCATGCCTAAAATTAAGGACGTCAACGTGATTGATAAATACTCGAGGATTATTTTTCCAGTTACTTTTCTCTTGTTTAATGCTGGATATTGGCTGTTTTATTTTTTCGAGTGACAGTCGTTCTTACGTCCCTTCTGTCGGTTATAAATGTAGATACAAAATGGTCCAAATTATATACAGACTTCGATTTACGTAGAACATGAGCTTATGGGTGTTTGTTACATATGATGTCATGGACGTTTCTGTATATAGACCTATAATAGTTCATTCAAAGTAATTAGTTACGTAAAAATTAGTTCGTATTTCAATAGATAAGACCGTGATGTAAATGTATTACGTTTACGTTAACATAATTTTATTGGTGTATAACAAGTGCACGGTCACGCGGACGTACCGAATTTCCATAATGTTTTGGCAAAAACAACAAAACTCTTGATTATTCTTTGCTGAGAACATATAATTAGTGTAGGTTTGTGTACTTATTTAAGAAACCACTACAAAAACCCACTGATGTAAAGAGAAACGTAAATTTGTTCTCATTCTCACAAGTTTATTTCTGTGTAATAAAATACATATTTCTCTTTAATAAGTAAAATAAATGCCACATCGTCATGCAAAACTATTTGCACTTGTTAGGATTCGTTGAGAAGAAAAAGAATCGCAATATTACAAGGCCGTCTAAGAACCTAATTAAATTTTATGGGTGTAATTAATTTGATCGAGCGATTTGCCAACCACTTTGGCAAGATATACGGTACTAATTTTTAATTGGTGGTATTATATGGAATAACTAATTTTCTACTTTTCAGCACTACAAATTTCATATTTTTGTTAGACTATTTTAAAATTATCTCAACTGGAAATTCCAAAGTCCATTCTTATGAGGAAACTTTTAAAATAAGTGGAAATGAGTAATTTGGATACAGTCATCTATTTGTAAATTATGCTATAAATAAATATTCAAATTTGTTCTCATTTAGATAAGACAAAGATAAACCTTCTAGTGGAACGAGTAAATCCATTATAAATAATAGTTATTTCATACATTTTCTATAGCAGTTTTACCTCAATTTTTGTTTTTTCAAACAATAAATGTTGTTTTGTTAAAGTCTTTAAAAACAAATCTGAGTGATAAGCTTTGCTTTATATTTTAATAATTCCTTGCCCGTAACAAAATTTCTCTTTATAAACTGTTAAGATGGAAGAATTAGAACATTTTTTCTTGGCAGAAATAGTTTTCCAACCTGTACTTGACCGGAAACAACTGACAGATCAACAAGAACAGGAGTTAAAGACTGGTACTGCCTGGCCTTACAAATACAAGTTGATGAAACATGAAACCTGTCATTCGACGACTTTTTGTATTGTTATTGCTTCTAATTGAACGATAATGTGGTGTGCTAATTCGTTCTGTAAGTTGTCTGAACAAAACCTACACTTTTTTATTAGAGTAAATATATCTTAAAAGTTAATTTTGTACGGAATAGAATTATGTATAATTAAAATAATATTGTTGGCAGCTTGAAAAATTTTATTCCTGTTAGTATAAATTATGTATAAAAAAGAGAAACGAAAGTACCTACTAGTATTTAATAAGATGTTTAAAAATTAATCTTGTGACTGTGAAAGATCAAAAGAGTGTTGATAGCATATTAAAGATTTATCCTAACTGTTGAAATTCTTTATGTAATTAATTATAAATCGGTACGTTAGCGTTGAAGAGTTTCAAATTTTCTGTAAACTGTAAATAAAACTGCTTTGTAGATATCTGTTTAAAATTTAAGAATGGTGCAATAAATACATTACAGTATCATTGAGCGTTTATTTACAAACACAGTAATCACAACATTCCTGTAGCGAATAATTTAGTTTGTTATTCAGCGTCCAAGAGTAGCAGATGTGAGAAAGTTATTCCAGTAATCTCCACCAAAATTAGAATTACCAAGCAATAAAAATCACCTTAAGGTATCTCCTCGAGTTATTTCAAGCAACAGGAACAAGCCAACAAGAAAAACTAAAAATAAGTGTTGACAATATCTGGAGTGGTAGGAATGGCCGAAAGGAGTGTTCCTGCTGAGCTTTCGCGAGCTTTTGCAGAAATATGCGACTCAATCAAACCGGAAATGGTTTGGTATCGTTTTAAGCTAGTTAGGAGACCGACTCATCTCAAGTAAACAGCGACTAGAAAATTAGCGTAGGAAGCTCAATTGGCGCCGGCGCCTTCTCCCGTTGCACAACAGCTTTCGTCCGAAAGAAAGAGACGCCGATATGTCTAAAAATCGCGAAATGTGTTAGTGGGAGGGGATGAATTTCCACCTCTCTACATTCGCAGTTTCACTGAAGATTCGGTTTAGAACGTGCGCGTCAAATTTCATCTCGAAATCGATTAATTAAAAGCCCTCACGAATTTTCAAAAGCGGTCCAAGCCGTTTCGATCGATTTTTGGCGTGAGCTTTCAGTGATTCGAGAAACGATGGCCGGGTGTGTGCTTTAAACTCTTGTTTATGGCAGCAAATCTGCGGAGGATTTTGACAGGACCCACCCCTTGCTCTTTTCAAACGAGTTGAATAAATCGCGCTTCAATGTCGAGCTATAAGAGAAGAGACTTTACGGAAAGGGTGTAAACGACCACCCTTGCACTCTTTGCGGCATCTACGGAAGAATGAAAGGAGATTTTGATAAACCCTACGGGGATGTTGTCAAATTTTGTCTACTGTTAGGATGTCTAGTCAGCTGTGGTAAGCTGACCAATTTTGGAAAACCTTGTGCTTGAATCGCTTTGGTGCATGTCTGTGAGAAAAAGCCAAGATTAGCCCTCGAGAATCTTAGCCAAATGTCACACCCTAGTGTCAAAATCGCTTCCTACAAACGAAAGTTGCGAAATATTGATCAGTTCAGTGGGCCTCGCCTTTACTGAATGAACCATTCATTGAGGCCTTGCTAGTCCGCAAACTCAGTTTACTACGATTTGAATGTTACGCAATAATATTTTCATTTTTTAATTATATTTGTTGCTAATTTGTTCTAAGTGGATTTATTTCCAACACCACAATTTGAAAAATTTACTCATAACATATATTCAAAGTATAATTACTTTTAAATAATTTTTACTCTTCTCTCTAACGGGACACACATTATCCATTATTCAAATTGCCATCAATTAAACACTTACAGGTTTCCTATCTGCAAGTTTATGCAAATTGAAAAAAATATGTTTACGTTTGCCGCCACTGTCTAATTATTGTCTTCATAATGACAGTTTCTGGTTATAGCTTCAGACGTAAGGCAAGACATTCTGGTTCGTAATTGATAACTAGTTTTCAGGTATAAGAACGTTAATTGCTTTTAATTTTAAATATTTTTCTACCATTCCTTTTAATTTTATTAGATGTAGCTGTGGGAAGCTGCAAATACGTTGGGTGGCCCCACTGAAAGCATATTTAACATATTTACTATTTTTCTTAATTGAGACTGGCTGCATTTAACTACCAGGGGAAATTCCAAAACTGGTTGCAATTTCTTACTTACAAAGAGAAAAAACGATTGATTTAAATTTAGGTTTTATTTTTTTGACAAAACTTAAAAAGAAATAAATGTAAGTCCTGTGGAGTTAACTTCATTCTAAGTTACCTTTTATATTAATTCCAAATATCTTTTCATCTTATCGGAAAATCTTAATGTACACTTTGGAGCTCTTAACTATATTATATGCATATTTATGCGCAATTGAAGTAACCGGTCTGAATTTAAAAGCAATACTTGAAATATCCCAGACACCATCCGCACACACCCATAAGTTCTTTTCTTACATCTTAATGGAATCTGACTCTTATGTTAAAATTCATTTCAAAACTAATAAAGTTAAAAACAAAAGAGCATATTTCTTTCTCTAATTGAAGAGTATACCTACTATCTATTACCACCCACAAAATTATTAAAATATAGATTTTTAAAATCAATATTGTTATGATGAAAAATAAGAAATTCATGTATATACTATACCATTATATTTTGAAAAAGATGCTCGTTTCAGAAAAGGTCATTTAAAAAAATCAAATGCCTAAATATGAAAAAAATATATAAAAGCTATTCTCAATATTTTAAAAAAATCATTTAACAAAAACATTGCTAAAGACACAGCACTGAATTTTGTTTTCATTAATGGCGATTAATGTGCAAAGTACGAGTATGAGGTACTATCTGAAATTTTAAACTAAGGGTAGCTAACAAGAAGGAAATGAAGTCTAAAGTGTTTTTTAAAAATGGTTTTGAATTCCTTTTCGTAATCCTTATCGACCTGTTTTTTCTCGAAAATATATTTACTCAAAATCAAGTTATTAAGGTCGTCCAGTTTTGAAATAAAAGCATGTTTTCTAAAGTTTTAACAAAATTATGTTATTAGACTATTTAAGGTTTGAATCTAATTGCCATTTATTAACCCAAACCTGTCCATTTTTAAAGTTCTTTGCAACCTAAAAGAGTTTATTTTTAAATAAGGAAAATTTTCAATAAGTTATTGTATCTTTTTATTTTTAAGTTTTTATTAAAGTTAATTTCAATGTTAATGAAATTAGAAATTGTTAATTTTCGAAAACAAAGAAATAAATTATAAACACTTTGTTATGTAAATGAGTTTATTTTTACCTACTTACAGAGCTATCGGCATAGAACAAACGATTCTAATGTTGTTATCAATCAATCAAACTCAATTCGTGAAAATATCTTCTCATCAACGACGGAAAATACCAGGATGCATAAACAATTTAAGAATGACTAATCTTTTAACAAATAGATCACAACTAACAATTACAGTATTTTACTTGGCAAAAACTTGAAATCTTCATTGGTGTCACTGGACTGGATTTATTCATCACAAGTTCATTGTGACTAAATATGATGAACTGGCTTTTAATTAAAAACTTTTTTCTTGTCGCATACTATCAACATTCCTGCACAGCAGATCCACTATTAAGTTCCTATTTCTGGTGTGTAAGGCGTCTATTAATAGCCCAGCATCTTAATTAGAATCATTCTTCAACAAGTCTATAATAAAAATGTTGTATTCCAGTACGATGTGCTGGAGAAGTGACCTCGAGCCCGATAATAACAGCACCACCTCATCGAGGTGCCGCCCGCCAAATGTACGGGTCGGGGTCGTTACGACCCCCCGGCACCAAACCGATCTACGCCACTGGCCAAAGACAACACGGCGTTAGAACTACAATCAGTCCAGACCAAATTAATCCAAGACGAATTTTTCTACCGCCACTTCAGTCATACCCTATTGTACCCTATCCCATACCCATGAGGGAGTATGACAGGTACTCAGGGTACCCCATTTTTAATTATAAGGATTTTTTATCGAGTTTACCGTCGTCGAGTAATATGGATCGGCCGTCAAATAGGGGTATGTATGGGGGCCGGTTGGAGTACTCAGAAGGACGCCCCAATCACGGTCTAGTCAGGACACGCTACCCCTTCGATTACGGTTTTATTCCCGGCAGAGGGTTACCCCCAGACCCCAATCCCCGACGTTTGGGACGATTCCCGAGTAAAAGCGGGTTTTTGAATAAAAATAACGACATGAAATTAAAATTTCCTGAAGAAGACGATGAGAAACAGTTGGAAGAAACGTACGGACACCCGTGTGGGGAGGGGTGTGCTCCGGGGGAGTTTCTATGTGTGGCAAGTTGTATTTGTATAAATGAAAAAAACAGGTGGGTTTTTTGGCAATTGGGTGTTATCGAGTACCTATTTTTGGCTTGTTAAAGGTGTGATGGGCAGGAAGACTGTGATAATGAAGAAGATGAATTAGAATGTGGTGAAATTGAATCGCAACGTAATGTCAAATGTGAGGCTAATGAAAATTTTATACGTTGTCCGGGATCCGGAAAGTGTATTTTGAGAAGTTGGTTGTGTGATGGTGACGATGATTGTGGGGACTTTTCAGATGAAACGCATTGTGGTGAGTTGGATGTTATTTTTTATGAAATTGACCTACAGTAAAGAGTATTTCCTTACTTTGTAAAATGAAACTTTAATCCCGAAACCAACAAAGTGTTCGGCGTTTAATTTCAAAGTTATCTTCCAGACGCACGAGTGTTTAACGATCTCGTGATAATTTTTATTTACAATATATTTCTAAGAAGTGATTGATAAAAACAATTTAACAGTGCCAAAAAATAATATAATCATGTTGTCTTTAGATAAAGGGTCAAAGATTACAAACATTTAGACACGAAAACTATTTAAAAAAAATATGATAATAGTCGGTAACATACTTTGTTCTTCGAATAATTAAATTAATTCACAGAAGTAGTTACAAAATGATAATTGAAAAATATCATTTCTGTTTTAAACAAAACTGTTGTCTTTTGTACTTGTTAACAAATTAGTATTTTATCTTATATGTATAGAATACATACAGGGTATCCCAACTATCACATCAACACAATTTTAGAATTTTGAATATTGTTAAATTTGTAAAAAAAAACAACTTTATTTCACAGTTTATTACTTGTTGCTTAAGAAGAAATTAATACAATATATGTATATATTTAATGGCTTTTTATCATTGGGATTGAGGACAAATAAATATTGTTATTAAAATAATGTCGGTCACGATTATAATTAAAAACAAACTTCCAAACTGTGTATTGTTTTGTAGTCCGGTCAAAATAGACATTTCAAATAACTAAAATTCCGACAGAGCTAAATTTTGGTGGAGATCTTGGGTACACCATTAGGAATAAAGTGTCAAAAGTCCCCATCGATAATTAATTTTTATTTATTTGTCCTCAATCCCAATGATAAAAAAGCCAGTAAATAGAAGTTAGGACGAAACTAAATTAACAAAGTATATGTATTTTAATTAATTTAGTGTAGAAAATAGATGCGATTTTAGAATTTGTGTTTAATTTGGAACCTAATTTTAAAGGCCAAAAGGTAAAAACGATGAGGGGTGTGTTTTCGTCAAATATACAGTCTGTCCCAGCGAGTTGAAAAAGTCCATTACTGACCTTTAAATGGTAAAATTAAAAAAAAAATATAGGACATTGATAGATACTAATCTGGTCCATCGGCTAAAATTATTTTCAACTATACAGCGTGTCTCAAAAATAAGTTACAATACAAACTTGTGTTCTTTTTTAATGTAACACCTTATGTTTCTTACCGTTTTTGGATGTAGATTTTTATGACAATGTTTTAAACTTTTATTGGTCGATTTTGCTTAGTTTTAAAAATAAGACGATTTCTTCGACGAAAACATGCACTTTTTAAAAAATTATTACACAAAAACTAAGACATCTAGAAATATTTTTTTACTACCGCGAAGAAGAAGGTACAAGCTACAGTGGGATCAAAAAGTCTGTCCAAGCAAGCGTAGAAATTTAAAACGTATGTCTGTGGAAGTTAAAATGTCATAATGACAAATGAGAAATGTCAAAATAATTTTTATGTAAATTATAACAGGAAACCGTAAAATAATTTTTTGACATCTAGATAACATATGAACTGCCATCCTCATCTAGGACACCTACTTGATAGAAAGACTTTTTGATCGCACTGTATAAGGTTGTAACATTTTATTAGTGTTTTGCATTTGCAAAGAAAAAAAAATGAAGGCGTTTCTTAAAAGTTCGATAACTTAAAAAATTTAAATGAAACACCCTACTTATTGTTTTTGCATTTAAAAGATTATTAAAGTGTCTTTCTAAAATTATTTACTTTTAGGTGTTTATAATCAATAACTAAAAAGATATTTAACGTTAAACATTAAAAAATAATAATTACTATTGTTTCAGTAGCCAAAAAGTGCACAGTTGAAAGAAATATCACTTAATAATCACATTTGTATTAAACTAAATCCATTATTCTTTATTTCTACAATCAAATAATTCAAATTTCAGTATTTATAACGGCTTTTACAATCTCTAGATAAATCAACGGATAAGTGATACATTGTGGAATTACTATGGTTTCCATAGTATCAACAGTGCCCAGATATTGATAGGCATTATTGCTACAATTAATATTGAATGTTAAATATCTTTTCATTTATCAATTCTAGACATTAAAAGTTTACTTTTTTAGATAGATAATTTATTAATCTATTAGATGCAAAAATAAAAAATAGGGTGTTCCATTCAATTAAGTTATTTAACTTTCAACAAACTTCTTCATTTATTAATCTTTACAAATACAAAACACTAAAAAATTGCTACAGCTTTAAATTCTGTAGTTTCTTCTTTGCAGAAGTAAGAAAAAATTTGTTCTAGCTGTCTTAGTTTTTGTATAATAATTTTTTTAAAAGTGCATGTTTTCGTTAAAAAAACTTAACTCTTATTTCTAAAACTAAGTGAAATCGACAAATAAAAGTTTAAAATATTGTTTTAAAAGGCTACATCCAAAAATGCCAAGACACATAATGTGTTTCATTGAGAAAAACACAAGTTTGTCTCGTGACTTATTTTTGGAACATGCTGTATGGTTGAAAATAATTTTAGGTGTTGCACTAGATGTATCTATCAATGTCCTATACATTTTTTTTTAATTTTACCATTTAAAGGTCATTAATGGACTTTTTCAACTTGCTGGGACACCCTGTATATTCCATGGAATAGTTGTATTACGAAGGAGAAAAGTGTATCTTTTTCTCCCGCAGGTGTGTAAGCTACTGCCCGAGAATTGTAGAGGACAGTAACCACCTGGAATGGAAAAGAAACTTTCCTCTAGTGTAACACATATAATTTTTCCTACGATCCAGCATGAAAAACTTCAAAAATAACATTTTTTTTTGATATCTCTGTTTCCTGAAAAGTTACATACCTATATTTTCAATGTACCTGATTTTGACAGATGAGGGAAGAAAAGTTTTAAAAATTTTACCTCTCTGGGAAGTAATTGGTCACTTTCCTTTCGAAGATTATGGTAGAAAAACTTACTTTCTGTTTGCATTAGAATGTTAATATGCCAAAGAAGAACTATGAGGGTCCTATCCATCTTAACTTTTATTAATTTTAGAAAACTTAATTTTGAATGCTGATTGTACAAGAGAAACCGTATTGACCATTACAATTAAAAAAAAAAACTACAATAAAAACCATTTCACTGAAAGTCATTCTCATTTTTGTTCCTTTTGCTAGGCCTTTCAAATTGAGTACATCCTGTACTTTATACAGTATTAATCTATGTAGAAGAAAAGAAAAAATTGATAAGCGACTGTATGTGTTAAAGCCGATATGCTTTCCCGTACAAACATTTTCTCCTTTCCAGGTTATACAGTAAATTGTAGTTCAGACCAATTCGAATGTGCCAACGGCCTATGTATACCAAAGACATGGCTTTGTGATAACGACAACGACTGTAAGGATTTTTCAGACGAATTGAACTGCACGAAAACAGCAGGGTAAGCAACCAATCTATGTTTATAACCCCGTCGCCCCATCAGCCTAATGGATGCAATTAAGATATCTGTTACACCCACCCTACCGATGTATTTTTAGGCATTTTAGCAAAATAATAGTTGATTTATTTTATTCGCTATACAGGTAAACTTGGCTGGGGCATCGGTCTCCATAGTAACCCAACCACCCTCTTTCCATCGATCGACGCCGCCTACAGTGCCATTTTAACGTATCTCCCATTATCTGCTGTTTTGGCCCTTAAATATCATTTTTATGCACGTTTCAAGGAATGCACCCGACACAAATCTAAATAAATTTTTAGAAATTATCCTGAAAACCACCCCTTAGAAATGTCTCTTCTTTCAGATGTTCCGAGGACGAGTTTGAATGTAGCGACGAGTCTTGTATTTCTTTAAGTTGGAAGTGTGACCGCCAAGTCGATTGTTCTGACGGTTCAGACGAACGTGATTGTGGTACGTACCACGACACCAACTTGGGTACAAATAAAAACAACCCCTTTCCAGACATAACACCACCCTATTGCAACGAAGGCGAATTTGAGTGTGCCTCTAAGCAATGCATCAAATTAAAGTTCAAATGCGATGGCGACAAAGACTGTGATGATTGGAGCGATGAAGATGATTGCGGAAAAGCTCCAGGAAATTGTGTTTCGGGCGAATTCAAGTAAACCAGTCAAAAATGATGAAAAAGTTTAACTCAATTAATATTTTGAAGGTGTAACAGCGGCAAATGTATTCCTGAAAGATACAGATGTGATAAGCAAGAAGACTGTGAAGAAAAAGAAGACGAAGCTAATTGTGATTATTCTTTAGCGCGGTCGTGTTCTCCTGATGAACACACTTGTAGCAATGGTGCTTGTATTTTGGTAGGTTTATTCTCTTTGGTTTAAGACAATTTTGAATGAATTTCAACAGAAAACATGGGTCTGTGATGGTTACAATGATTGTCCACAAGGCGAAGATGAATCCAAATGTGAGATAGTCTGCGATGAATCGAAATTTTCTTGCAGTGGTCACGGTATCAACGACACTGCGACCGAATTTTGCATCAGCAGAAAACACGTATGTGATGGCAAAAAAGACTGTCCGAAAGGGGAAGACGAGAGTGGTTGTCCCACTAAACGAGAGTGTGAAACGAATACGAATTGTACCCAACTGTGTATCACCACAGCGGACGGGAAAAAAGGGTGTGATTGCATACCTGGCTACAAGCTCGCTTCTGACGGAATAACGTAAAACTTTGTTGTGCTTTTGGTCCAAAACTATTTTTTGTTAACAGGTGTGAAGACATAAATGAGTGTTTATACGCAACAGATCCGGTGTGTTCCCAGACTTGTAATAACACTCAAGGGAGTTTTAGATGTGGTTGTATGACGGGTTATGTGCTGCGACCTGATTTGAGGACTTGTAAAGCAATTGGTGACCCTCCGACTCTCCTGTTTGCAAATCGGATTGACATCAGACAGGTATTGACTTGAATTAAACCCCAAAAACAAAAAAAATATTTTTCTAAGGTGTCATTACAGGTGTCTTTGAGCAACAGTAAATACACCCCGATTTTGAAAGGCCTCCACAATGCTATAGCTCTCGATTATCACTACAACAAAAAACTGATATTTTGGTCGGACGTCTCAATGGATGTAATAAGAAGAGCAACAATGAACGGTTCTGATATCACAGACATAATCAAGTGGGGACTTCAATCCCCTGGCGGTGTCGCTTTGGATTGGATTCACGATTTGATTTTTTGGACTGACTCAGGCACTCGTCGCATTGAAGTTGCCAGTTTGGATGGTAAACACAGGGCGATTATAGCCGGGAATGACATCGACAAACCTCGAGCGATAACAGTCCACCCTGGCGAAGCCTACGTTTTTTGGACTGATTGGGGTCCCAACCCTAAAATCGAACGCGCAGAAATGGACGGAAGCAACCGGAGAAGTATCATAAACGAGTCCGTATTTTGGCCAAACGGCCTCACTTTGGACTACACCTCGAATAGGATTTATTGGGCCGATGCCAAACATAACGTCATTGAAACAGCATTGTTTAATGGGAATGATCGACGAAAAGTGATCAGTAAGGGACTACCACATCCTTTCGCCCTCACTATCTTCGAGGATGCTATTTATTGGACTGACTGGCATACGAAATCGATCTCGACGGCGAATAAAGCAACAGGGGCCGGTTTGAGGACCATCCACTCGCACCTTCACTTTCCGATGGATATTCATAGTTACCATCCGCAAAGGCAGCCCAAATACCCCAACAGGTGTGGCAATAACAACGGCGGATGTGCCCACTTGTGTTTACCGAAGCGGAAGTCGTACACGTGTGTGTGCCGCATGGGCCAAAAACTAAAATCTGATAAGAAATCCTGTCAAAAGCCTGAAAAGTTGCTCATTTTTGCACGCAAAAAGGATTTGAGGATCAAACATTTGGACAACAATGCGGTGCATCAACACTCGATGGTATGACGCCAAGTGATATTTACGTTGTCCAATGTTGTTCTTTCTCAGGTGATTCCCCTCGATGGGGTTAAATCAGCAGTGGCCATTGCTTGGGATTCCGAAAGTGATTACATTTTCTGGACGGACGTCGAACGTGACACTATTAATCGTGCTCTCTGGAACGGTTCCAATCAAGAAGTTATCGTATACTCCAATATCGGTGAGTTTGAGATTTATTACTTTATATTAACAGGTGTTGACGGCTATAAATTCAGTTACACCGGCCGGTTTGGCTCTGGATTGGCTAACTAATAAAATTTATTGGACGGATGCTGATACTACAAGAATTGAAGTGGCGAAAACCAACGGGGAGATGAGGAGTCTCCTGGTCTGGGATAATTTATACAAGCCGAGAGATATTGTCGTTGACCCTATTGGTAAAAATAAGAAAATTCTTTTGGAAATTTGTTAAATTTGTGATTAGGTGGCTACATGTATTGGTCAGATTGGGCCGAATCCCCAAAAATTGAAAGGGCTGCGATGGACGGAACCATGAGATCGGTTATCGTAAGTAGCAACTTAACCTGGCCCAATGGGCTTGCCATAGACCACAGTGCTGGCAAAATCTATTGGGCTGATGGTGGCACCAAGGCGATCGAGTGTTCTAATTTTGATGGTTCAAAGCGGAAAACGATCATAGGTAAATAAACATTTCAAACACTAGTTTTTTGCTTATTATTTAACTTGCAGAAGGGCCAGAATTACCTCACCCTTTCGGACTTGATGTTTTCGAAAATTATATTTACTGGACCGATTGGCGCACTCTGACAATCGAGAGAGCTAACAAAAATACCGGTTTAAATCGAACCATCTTAGCGTCGGATATAACCGATTTAATGGATGTGCGAGTCTTTCACCGGAACCGCAAAATGATTAAAACCCCTTGTGGCACCAAAAACGGAGGTTGTACCCATTTGTGCCTTCTTAAACCGAAAAATAACCACACTTGTGCTTGCCCCACTGGCATAAAACTGGAAGAAGACGGCAAAACTTGTGCCAACGGCCCGATTAATTTCCTAATCCTCGCTCACAGAAACGTCATCAGACAAATATCACTTGATGTTCCATACATTGCCGATGTAGTGTTACCTCTACCTCCTCTCAAACTAGTGACTTCAGTTGACGTCGACCGAAAAACTGGCGAAATCTACTGGATCGATCAGGCTGAAGATGTGATCCAGAAAAGCACCCGCGATGGCCAAAACGCTAAACTCATCATTACGCACAAATTGCAAACTCCTGAAGGAATCGCAGTGGATTCAACCGGTCGTAAAATTTACTGGACCGATGGCGAAAGAAACAGTGTTGAAGTGGTAGAACTCGATGGCTCAAACCGTAAAGTACTTTTCAGTACTAATCTAGATAACCCTCGAGCTATCACTCTGCACTACCACCACGGACTCATGTTTTGGTCCGATTGGGGTAAAAAGGCCAAAATTGAGGTCGCACAAATGGACGGAACTAAACGAAAAGCCTTGATAACTGAAGGTTTAGTGTGGCCAAATGGATTAGCTATCGATCGACCTACTGAACGACTTTACTGGAACGACGCCAAGTTGCATACTATTGAATCGAGTGATTTGAAAGGACATGACCGGAAGATTATTGTGACCGAAGCCCCACACCCATATGGGTTAGTGGTGGTCGGCAGTCATATTTATTGGACGGATTGGCAAACGCAAGCTTTGCATAGAGCTGATAAGAACAATGGGACTGATAAGGCGAAAATCCGGGAAAAATTGGATGGGTTGATGGATGTGAGGTCGGTGCAAAGTGACAATATTGCGGAAAATGCTTGTGGGACTAACAATGGAGGATGTTCCCATTTGTGTCTGCGGAATTCCGGAGGTTTTAGCTGTACGTGTCCCACTGGGATTAAAATGTCGAAAAAGAACCCAAAAGTGTGTGAAAAACAACCATCGACATATCTGCTTCTAGCAACACGTTTCGCTTTGAATAGAATTAGTCTCGACACTGACGATCTCTGGGATGTAACACTCCCCATCGAAGATGTCAACAATGTGATTGATGTTGATTTTCATTGGGAAAAACGCTTGATTTATTACACTGATATTGGGAATAACGTGATACAAAGTGTGAACATGTTTAATTTATCTGATATCAAGAATATAGTCCATTCGAACTTATCCTCCCCTGATGGAATTGCCGTTGATTGGATCGCAAACAACATCTACTGGACAAACACCGGAAACAAAGTGATAGAAGTGGCGAAAATTGACGGAAGTCATCGCAAAACTATCATTTCGACTAATCTGCAAGACCCACGTTCTATTGCGGTGTTTCCGCGAAAAGGTTATCTGTATTGGACTGATTGGGGAAAACCAAAAATCGAACGATCGTTCCTCGATGGTTCCGATCGAAGAATTTTGATAAATGAACAGTTGAGTTTCCCAATTGGACTTGCAATTGATTTTGTTGACAAACGCCTCTACTGGATTGATGCCACTCTCAATGAAGAACGAATTGAAACTTCGGATCTCCATGGTCGCAATAGAGTTGTTTTAGATATACCACAGACTCATCCTTTCTCCTTGACCCAATTTGGAGAACATATTTATTGGACGGATTGGGTCCATAAAACAGTCGCTCGAGCTGATAAAACATCGGGAAAAGACGTAGTAATAGTACGGTCGTACTTAGAAGCCGCCATGGGTTTATCGATGGTTACAGCTAGTCGGCAGTCGGGTTGGAACCCATGTGCTGTCAATAACGGTGGTTGTCCTCATTTATGTTTCTTCAAACAGAAGAATTACACTTGTGGGTGTCCCAACGACCATAGTAAATGTGTAGAAGGCGAACCCAAAAATCCGGTTCCGAATAAATGTCCTGGTGGTTCCTACAAATGCGATTATGATGATGATGACGATGAGGATTTGTACAACCCGACTAATATAAGAGATTTGGATGAAACTCCGGAACAATCATCGGGTGAACATTGGAACCGGTTTTACATAATGACTTTGGTGCCAATGCTTTGTATAATTTTGTTGTGCATAATTTTGGTGGGATTTTTGCTTTTCAAAAAAGGGAAAAAGAAGTATTTGTATGCGACTGGGAGAAGTTTCTCCAACCCTAATTATTACTCATCTGGGAATGAGCCGGGAGTTGCTGCGGCTTCCGGTGATCGCAAACAGTTTATTTGGAAAAAATTAAAATACGACAAGTCACAAGTGAGTAGTGAACATTGTGTGAAATTTGTTTTTGAACTGTGTTTCACAGGAACGAGTTTATGAAGAAACTGCTGGAACAAACAGTCCTGAAATAGCAAGTCTCATTCCAACAATTTTAACTCCTTGCAGTTCCAACTGTGAAACTGTTACTCCGGAATTGGAAAGGTCTCCTTCAGTAACACCACTCCATAAAATTGAAATGGTTCAAGCACTTCAGACAGATGCTTAAAGCGAGACATACATATAGTCACCTATTTAAATTAAAAACGAATAAAAAACAGAAACTTGCATTTTAACTGCACTATTGTTGTAAATAATAATTTAAAAGAAAAAGAAAATTGTCAAATTAAGGTGACTGACAATAAAACCACATTTAAAATAGTTCAATTTGACGATACACAAATGTATAACACTTGCGGTAAGTAAGTAATTATGTGCCAAAGAAACCAGAAAGATTACAAAAAATTTACTTAAAGGTTGCCAAAGTAGAAGAAATTTATCGTTTTTAATGTCAGACGGGACACAATCCGGTACATCCCTTTAATTTCGGGTGGTAAAAAAAGTAAATTAATTGTGGTCTTTGAAAACGCGAAAATTTTGTATTTTTCTACAATTTTACTATTTTTTTCTTGTTTTTGGAGATACAAAGTCCCGAGAAACTGAGATATTTTATTATTATAGCACGGTTAGAGATACTACCTATAACAATAACGTTTCATTTGTTACTCATATATTTATGATGGAGAGGATAATTGTTAAATTTTATTATTTGTTACTTTGTCAATAAAGAATATTCTCTTTACTTTTTTTTGATAAAGATATATGAGTGTACTTAACTATTCCAATAGATGTTACATATCTCGTTAAAAAGGGCAAGTTGTTTATAAAAGAAAACTATAATTGTTTTTCCGTTTGTAAGACAATTAAACTGTTTCTGTATGTAACTTCATATCACGTCGCTCAGCATTTTCCGTTGAAATGAAATTAAAAAATGACACCCAAAAACCCTTCTCATATGTACTTATGAATGAATGGTAAGAAACTTAGAGTAATATTTTTTTATAAATAGTATGCTGGTGTTTACAAACTAAGACTGACTGATAGGATTTGTTAACCAAGTAATCAAAACAAATTGTACTTAAATATTTTGTACATGATACAAAATATTTAAATATATTTTTCTGTATGAAGCAAGGTATGTGTGTTACTGAGGAAAAAAGTTGACACTATATATATTTAAAAAAACAAACATATTCATAAAGTTGAACCGCATAGGGCTCAAGGCGATTTAACTCAAATGAATATTTTGTGATAGGACGATTCATAACGAAGAGTTAAATTTTTGTAAATGTAATTCGTTAGGCGTAATCATCTTCCATTGTAAATAAGGAATTCAAAATCAACCGACTAGTTTATTTTCAATTCCTACTGTGAAAAGATCCATCAATATTAAATTTTAGCTCAATAATTATACTAATAAATAATAAAGAAACGAACTGGCTCAAAAATGATTTACTAATAACAACAATTATACAACCTGTTTTTAATTTCGTTTATAGAGAAACGTCTAAGAAGGGATTATATCTGATTACGAAAATTAATATTGTTATATTCTGTTATATGAACCATTACAATATTAATAACTCAGTAAGTAGATATGTTCTAAATCAATGTTTTAAACTGTAAGACATAATGTTAGCCATTATTTATGTTTATACCTATAAGTCATGCAATCTATAGATTCATGAATCTTGTCGAGCCTCCGGTGAGAAACATGATAATAAACGATGTATTTTAAATGTTTAAAAGTATTTTACTCATTTCAATGCAAAAAATTAACTCTCCTTTAATACTATCCCAACATATTTACCTTGACAGATTGATGTGCTCTTTTGCAATACTTAATACTCGTATCAATGTATTTTTTTTTACTTCTTATTGAATTTACAAGTTCCTTAATGAAATGATTTTTTTCTAGATGTGCTTTAAATTTAAAGATGTTAGAGGTTAAGCAATCAAATTTTACACAATAGTATTATTAGTTGCATATATAAAAACTTTGAATGACCATAATTTTTGCTTACTTATGAAATGGAAAGGTAGTTAAAGGTCTAATTAAATTAGGCAATTATCCAGTGTTAAAATATCACACATTTCCAATTATAATAGATTTATTTAAAAAAAGAAAAAAACAAGTCACATTAACATAGTCAATATTTATTTCTTATATACGTCTGTATTCACAAAAACGTGAAAAATTAATACTGAGAGTTCTCTTGGGCGACATCTTTCCTCGAGTCCGTCACAATAAATTGCACATCGGCCCCCACAGTCTCCATTCCCCCTGTTTGCCTTCCCATATAGCGACACATGAGATCAGAAATTCCCGGATTTAAAGAATATTTCTTCTTGCCACTTCTCATCCTATTTGCGAACAAATCATATCGTTCTGTCTTCTTCCACAAATAATAGAATTGCACTAATTCACCGACATGACGAGTGGTAACTCTGTATTTCTGAATAAGAAAAAAATTCTTCCCAAAACTTAAGAGCCCCTTCTCGAAGTTCCTACACTCCTCCTCGCTCCAAACGCTCAACTTTTCTGGATTTTTCGTCTGACTGGCGCTGAGGTCCTGGAAGGCACTCTCAACGTTATGTCTGTGTTTTTGCAAAATGTACAAAGCTTCCTCATCGTCCCTTAAATGGTTCCCCATTGGGATTAGAAGTTTTGTGATTGAAGATATCCTCCTCAGGAAGTTTTCCACACTTTCTGAGTCTATGATAAATGGATCCCACAGAAGCTCATCCTCTTTTGTATACTCACTGAAATCGCTTAAATACTTTGGAATCCTAGCTTGGTAATGGTTGCCAACGCGAGCTTTCTTCCGAAATTGTTCATCAGATTCACTATCATCCTCGCCACTGTGTGAATTCTGGTCTGATTTTGTTGAAAGTTGGTCGAGTGACTCCACTATTTGTTGCTCAATTTGTTCAGAATAAATAGAATTTCCATTAGTTTTAGGGCTATCCTCTGAAGGCACTAAATTATCTTCTAATATTGACTGAAAATCGGATTTTTGCTTATTCTCATCACCGTTAGAGTAATTTAAAGAGCTGAAGAATTTGATTGAGGGGCCGCTGTCTTCATCCGAAAATGGAGCTTCTGCCATCATACCGTCCTTATTTCTTGCTAAAAAGTCTCATTTTTTGTCTTTAAAAAGCTACAAAAAAAATTAAAGATTTTTAAAACTCGCAGGTTTGGTCATAACTTACGTATACTCACGTTTTTCACCCATATCTTACATAAATTGTACTGAAAAATATAAAGGAAGTTTAAAAATTAACCAAAAATATGTTTCTTTTATTGCACTATCATAAATCTTATCGTAAAAAATAAATAAAATTGTGGTTACGTGAGTGAAACACGAAGATTTGAGGTTATAAACAAAGAAGAAGGGCGCCAAATTTAAACATCAATTTCTTGATAGAACATTTAGCTTTACCCTCCCTCGGCTTTACCTTATTTTACTTTATTTTGTCATAACACTCATAACACCTAAAAATAAATAATTATATATTTTCTGTGTTATTGCTTCTACCTACATAAATTCAATTTATAGTCAAAATTCTTAATATTCATTTAATTTTTGAGAATATAATTGCTAATTAGGTTGTTAATAAATTTTATGGATGGAAACGTTTTTTTTTATTGCAAGTCATTAATACAAATAAATTAATTGTTCATGAAAGTTTCTACTATAAGCAAATGGAAATTTTTCATTAAATTTAAAACGCGTTCAAAAATAATGTCATTTGAACACCCAAAACCGAAAATAAAAGAAAAGGTCATTAGTGGTCAATAAATTTATCTACCAAAGAACATCAAATAAATTGCTGCCGTTAATCCTAGCCGACCTAAAGGCCTGCTTCCTGCGCGCTTAGTGTTACTCTTCATTTCGAAAAAATCTCCTCGTCCGGGGAAAAATGATTTATCATGGTAATTCCTTGCGTCAGCGTTTATCCGGAGTATAAATAAAAGGTATATATTTCTCGGCGGAGAACTTGTTTTTATTTAATAAGAGTAGCAGCGATATAATCTAAAAATCGACTTTAGAGAGCTCCGATGCCGATTCACTATTATTAGATTATTAATTAATTTTGATGGATGTTGGAGACCGACATACGTGTGCTAAAGGAAAATTCTTACGATTTTTTTATAACATATCACTTCCGACACATTAATTGCCTCGACAGGACTGATTTAATTAAATGGCAAAGAAGTGCTTTAAAGCAATGTTCGTTTCGTAACCTGTGTAATTATTATAATCCTGTCAATAGTCAAAGTCAAGTTGAATGGAACACGAAGAGAAATCACGTGAAAAATTACTGGAGAATTTTACGATTTTATTACAATCATTAATTGCCATTATTTTCTTGCAAGACTTTTCCTCCTAGTTTAACTAGTGACACATGAACTCTTCGCCTCCGGACATGCAAATGTTGTTTTCCCATTTCTGCGCGCACGATAAATAAGTATGAATTTAAAGTAATAAACGAAGAAAAATGTTAAGAGGGGATTTATGTTAAGTAATGCGGCGGTTAGACAACGAGCAAATTATCGACAGGGCAATGTAATTTAATTCTTGGTTGCGATCATGCTATTTCTTCGGCTATTAAGTAGCTACGATGAGTTGTTTCCGGCCAATGTCGATTCAATAAATCAACCATCAAAAGCAAAACCAATTAAATGCGAAAAGCCGACGTAAAAATACATACAGTTCAATGCAATTTTCGATAAACATATTTTCTTGAATTTTTAAAGAAATTTATTGAAAACACGCAGTTTTAAACCCGTTGACCTGTTATTAAATCTCTCATTACATCGCGTCTATAATAATCTCGATAATAATCAATTACTTTTCCACCTACGGCCTATAGAAACGTATAAACATTAATTAAACCTATTGTTTAAGATATTAAAAAGTGTTTGCATAAATTTACCTATACTAAATATGTATGAAAATTAAATAGTAACAATTGTGTTAGTGGCACAAATAACTATGATTTCAGAAAACAATACAAGATTTAATTGAATAATATTTGTTTTAATTTACAACAAAGAAAAATAAGCGCAATTAAAAATTACCATTTTTTATTATTTGGACTAATTTTGTTCGTAATCACATTATGTCTATATGGTTAGAGTATAGCTGTCTGACTTTTTTAATATTTATTTTTCAAACAACTTCAGTTTAAAGAACTTTTCAGCTTCGAATAAATAATATACGACTTTCAATGTCATAAGGTTTAGGTCATTCGTATGTGAAATAAGTGTCTCTGAGGTCATTGTGAAATTTGAAATTTAAATTATTCGAATTACAATAAAAATTTTCGATTTTTCCCTTTTTACTAGGATATAGTTACTAAATTAAAAAACATCAGGCCCCTTACCTCTGCCTAATAATAAATAAATAAAACAATAACTTTCAACAATCCTAACAAAAACTTTAATATCTTTCTCTCAAGAATTGAACCCAAGTCTCATTACTTAACATTGAAAATAGAGCACTCAAAGATGAAACTTGTATGAACATTAGTCTAATTGTAAACTAGTTCTTGCTGAGATATCTTTATATTAGGTGTTCTGTTTTACAACATGCTTTATCATGTTTTTGCTGTTAAGAATTATTGTAAACTCGATGTAAAATAAATTAGATTAAACAAAAAGCAAAACGAAGCTAAATTACTATAGAAAATTAACAAACAGCCAAAAAATACAATTTGTTAAATTACCCAACCTTATGCAGTCATCAAACTCCGCATTCTACAAAGTACTATCACTTCTTATGTATAGTAACCATAAAAAGTCATTACGATTTGAATTATTACAAGAACAAGTGCAAAAAACCGCTCTTTCCAAGCCGCGTTTCCTCCCTTGTCATGTTATTGACACCAAAACTGGCGCAAATGTAGCTCATATTCATTGCAAACATCGAGAAAGTAATAATATTGACTGATCATTGCATTCGTTGACCCCAAATAAATTCCAAATACAGACCTACAATTTTTGGTGGTAATAAAACAGAAAGCTTGATGCCTGCTAATCTCGCAGAATTACTACTTTGTTCGGACGAAACTAGATTAAAAATAAAATGATTTAGTAGCGCTTTTTGTTCTTTGAAAATAATAAATCATAAGAAAGGAAGTGTTACGCGCCGAAATGCGTTCCGAGGATATGAAAAATGAAAGATAAAATTGCCACGGGCAATCGAAGTTGGGCCATGCAGTCTGGCACTTACTCTGACATACATCCACGAACTCGTTCGAGAACTTGTCAAATTCCTCCACTTTCCAACGACATTCGTGGACTTCTGACAGACAATCGGAAGATTTTCGTGACAATATTGTGACATGAAAAAAAATGCAAGAATGGAAATGTTGCTAAAAAATAAAAACACTAACCAACAGACAACACTTTGGTTCTAAACCTTCCCCAACATAAATAGCAGCAATCTTTTCTAAATACAAAACGTTAAACAAAACCAAAAAAGGAATCATGGAGAGCCCCGAAAGAGAAAGGCAGGCATTAAATCATCCGGTATCATCTTTTGATAGAGATACTTTTATTCACGTATCTGAGATGATTTCACTGTTCAAGACTACAATCTGTAGCAATTCGTGACCTACAATCATTTGGATCAGCACAATTTTTTATTCATAAGATTTTTCCTCTTCTTGTGAATCATCAGAAGTAATAAAATCGGTGAAAATTTCTTATTTTGTAACCTACTTAAACTCCACCTTGTAACTCCTTTTGTTAATTTTTAATCACAAACAAAAAGCCTTTCTTTGCGACTGGTAGCCGATAAAGGAAACACGTAGTTGGAAAAGTTTTGCCATTGAAACACTTGTAAATCTATTTATGGGCAGAAGAATCTTATTCTGAATTAAAAAAAAAACAAACCCTGAAGGTCTTGAAACTTGACATTTAAACTGTTAAAATTATCATAAAAACTATTAAAGCGGCACGAGTCTTGTCTTTTCTTTTTCATATATGCAAATAACAAATTTCCATGTGACTAGTCGGCCTTCCTGTCATGTTACTCTTATCGTTTAACATTCCTACAAATTTCTTATCCACGTGAGAGTTGATTGATATAAATGCGTAAAAATGCTTTCTATTTGAATCTATTAAAATTAATTTGTGTAACCTTTGACGAGATTTAAAACGTTTTGGTAATTTACTTTCTTTCGTGTCAATGTTTCGCAATCAGAAAATCGTCTGGAATTGTCTAGAAAGTGTGGATAAATGACCGAAAAGCTCCACAGGCATCAAGTGTTATTTCCAAGTCTCGTGTACTCAGCGTGCGTGCTTTTGCTGCATATTTAGCAATAATTAATATCTACTAACTCTACAGGTATTCTGCTTTAATTGTGCCACAACCGGGATTCGACCCTGGCGTTCTTGAGCATGCAAAGGTAATCGACTAGAAAAATTCAGTGTTCTGTTTCAAGAAAAACAACATCCTTGTCGGAAAATTATCAACGGAACTATCTCTTTCCGTTCCGACTATACCTTAAATATATTATTACACTTCTTGAACGGTTGCAATTGCTACGTCACTCGTAATACTAGCGAGAAAAACTCAGATCATTTCACGGCACTTCCTTATTTTAATATAAACGTTTCCGTGATTCTCACGGTGTCAACATTCCTTGTTTAGATCATGCAAGTGTTAAAAATGGCTTCAGATATAGATTTATCTTCAGTGAATAACGAATTATGCAAAATTATTTCAGAGATAGGACTTATTAACCTTCAACAAAACAGTTAGTTGCTTATAAGGTTGCAACTTACTAAACTATGCAAATTTTAATTTTCTCTGCTTTCTATCAAATCTACTCATTTATAATTTTAGTATATTGCCTAACGGTGTTGTCATTACTTAATATTTGTCTAATATCAACTATAAAAACTTTCTTCACAAAATTAACAATTCTATAGCAGTAACAAAATAAAATTTAAATGTTTTCAATTTATTTTGGTTTTACAATTTTCTATTCAATTCCACAATATCAAAATATGTATAAATGATATGTATTTTTTTCAAAAAAATAGGATTACCTTCCTACTGTTTTTTCTAACAAAACATCTGCTTTATAAATATTTAAACATATTTGTTCTTTTAATTTTTTATCATCAATTTACCTACGATACTGCAATAATAAATAAAAATGCTTTGATAAAAATGTAATCAAATATAGTATGTGACGCAGGGATAATACCTAGGTGGGTACCTATATTGAAATGTTATTTTTGACATTTATTAAACAATACGATTAGTAAATAAAAATTGATTAAAATATCAAGATAAAATAACAAAAATCCAAATTACCGTCAAGGCCCCTTCTGACTCTATAAGCTTTTAAC